CAAGTGTAATGCATACACAGGGATACAGTTGCAGAAACACTCACGGAACACACAGGGAGTGTGTGTTGCAATATGCAGACATGCAAGGTGCATACACAGGGGTACAGGATTCAATGGCAGGAATGCTCATGAGAATGCACACAGAGATATAGGGCACAAGAAATGAACGCAATGCAAGGAACATGCATTATACGAAGGTGCAGGACAGCACAGAAGTAAGCTATAAGGAAACACGCGGGGAGGCCAGAAGGAAGGCAAGAGATGACTCGCAAGGAGTGAGGATGGGCAGGAATTAAGGAACAGTTCAAGGACACAAGGAAGGAACTAGCAAGAAACAGATACACAGGGAATACAGCACAGGTGACTCAGAGCGAGGACAGGGCAGAAAGGGGAAGCAGACACACTGGAGTGCAGAGAGGATACACACAAGTGTATAGCAATCAGCAGACAGACAAGTATAGCCACTCACACCTCACAAGCAAATGCACAACAATACAGGGAATCACAAGGGTCTCAGAGTAAGCAGGGACACTGGGAACAGCTAGGAGGGAAACATCCAAACAGGGAATCCACAGTGGTAAATGAGGAACCCAGAAATTTGAGCAGCGGCGATCGTTTCTGTCCTATGAAAATTTCCTGACTGGCAGTGCCGTAGGGGAACATGGAGCCAGCTTCCCGTGCAATCTTGCCGCACGATTGGCTGGAAAGCCGGCTTCCTGGCCAATCAGTATCGAGCCAGTTTCCCGGTCAATCAGGTCATTACTCGCCATCTGGCTTCCTGATTGACCGGGAAGCAGGTTTCCCAGCCAATCACAATCAAGCAGGCCAAACAACATGGAGCCGGCTTCCGTGGCAATCAGGAATCTGGGCGGGATGTCATTACCCGCTGCCCGGCTTCCTGATTACCAGGGAAGCCTGCTCAATGCCAGCGGAAGCACCAGTATTAGTATTCAGTGTTGGCGAGATCCGAAAGCAAAAAAAACGGTACTCGTACTCGATACTGAAAAAACGGTATTGGTGCATCCTTAGTTTTGATTAAAACCATTTTTTAGTATTGGGACAAGTAGATTGTCATGAAGGACAAGTAGATTTGGCCCCCGCTTTAGCCCTTGGACAAGTAGTTTTTTTTAAAATTTCCACACCCCTGAAGTGAGATGAATCTAAATAGGGGACAAAATGAGAAGATTGACTGCAGCCCTGTGAATCCCCATAGGCTGACAGCCAAGCACCTGGGACAGAGGGGAAAATCAGGCATGGAAACTGGACACAAGGGAAAATCCGGTATGGATACCAGGATAATGTGGTAAGTGTAATTAATACTCTCCTGTCAGAGTCTCTTTTTGACCTCCAGGAAGGAGGCCCCATTCATTTGCACCTCTGACGCAAAGTCTGGGAATATGGAGATATGGGGTCCATTGTAATTGAGACCACCGGTAAGCCTGCCTGTTCGCAAAATGGCAATGTTATTTTTGAAGTTGAGAATCTTAGCAATTAAGGGTCTTCTATTAGCCCCAGCCGGGTGTCACCAGAGGTGTGTGGTGCACCCATTCGAACAGTAACTTAGGGGAAACATTTTACAATGGTTTTCTTCTGCAGTGGGGGACCTTAGGAGGAAGCCATGTCCGGAAGCGAAGGAGCAGCTGAAGTGAAGGCAACAGTGTCTCTCTGAGAGGGGCCACCAGGTAAGAAAGGAAAAGAAACAGCTGCATGTCCTCTGTCACCATCTTGCCTGTCCTGAAAGTATGCCAGCCGTGCAGGGAGGAGAGAGCTGGCAGCTGTCACAGGAGGCCGAGCTCTCCTGCTGCACAGCCCTACTCTGGCTCCTGTGACAGGCAAGAAGAGTCAGGAGGGAGAGCAGATCACAAGCGCTCAGCCATCAGGACTGATCACCGAGTATTTTTTAAATAACTGAGAACATAGTATGCTTACTGTGTCCCCAGTTTTGAATGAACAGGAAGTATACCTCACTTCCTGTTCATTCATTATTGTGGACATATAACTCATACTATTTCCACAGATTATGAATGGACAGGAGCAACTCAGTATAGAGGCTTCCTGTTCATTCATAACAGAAACTGAAGAATAAGAGATTGAAAACTCTGTGTCCTCAATCTCTTTTTCTATTTTAAAAAGGGAAATATCGGGGGTCTGTTTAGACCCCTAATATTTCCCAAAGCCCCTAACAGTACAGTAAAAATGAAATAAATAAAAATAACTAATTAAAAAATTATGATTTTTTTTTAAAAAGGTTGGAAAAAAAGTCATTTTCAGTTCCGCCATGAATTTTTTTACATTTTCAGTTTCGGTCTAAAAATGTCATTTTGGTGCATCCCTAGTCATCAACTCTGGTACCACTGGCTACAGGCACCAGTGCCCCCCTCTGTCTATACACCTTCTGTTCCACCACTGGGGCTGCTCAGACAAGAGCGGCAAGGTCTCTCCATATCAGATGCCAGGCCACACCCCGAGTCATCCTTCTTAGTGCATCTTCAGCTGTCTGGACAATTCTGTTTGTCCATTACATTGGGGCCAGGGTGGAGCAATGATCAGAGCTGTAATTAGGATGTTTTTGGTTGCAAACAGCTGTCACAGCAGATATCTGTGATAGCACATGGATTACTTCTACCTATTTTGAGTATGAGGTCAGTAGCTGCTTCACTAGATGAAAAGTCTGAGAATGTTTAGAAGTCCAAATCCAAGGAACTCCTTTATCAAGCAGACAATAGTTCTACCACTGTTGATTTATGAGCAAGAAAATTATGGTAAGAATTGTTTGAAGGTCTTGCTTGGATTTTGGGTCAGGAGCTTTGTGGATAGGTTTACTTTCCCTTTTGCTGGATGAATAACTGCAGCATCTGTACTGTACCAAATCATCTCTGAATTGGTGCTGACACTGTCCTTCCTTCTGGAGGGTGGCTACTTTTGTTCCTCATCGTCCCTGTGTGTGTTGTAAAGTAGCCAACGCTCCAAGCTCACTCCTGTGATGGATTATAACTTCGATACAAATTAGTAAACCACACATGAGATTGTCGGTCTATCACAGGCAAGGCCAGCATAACTTTCTCTGCTGCCCCAAGGCCAGGTTCCTCAATGTGCCCTCCCCACCCCACTCCCGTCAGTGAGAGGGGCTTTTATCAGACAGTGCAGCCCCTCTACTCATTGCTTTAACGCTGCATGGAAACATCAGCATCTTTTACATGGAGAGTTAAAGCCTTTAATCACTGCGGCGCTGCAGGTGATACACATGGATTTATTTCATAGGCAGCCACCTGCTTACTGACAGCTTGTCAGTCTATTAAATAGATGCCATTTAATCTCCATCACCTCTGCTGTGATTAAAGGAAGAAATATACACCTACACCCAGAAATACGCACCCCCCCCACACACTAATACACCCACAACCAGAAATACACCCACTAATTCACACACAACAAGGCCCCATTCACACCTGCAAGTTTAGGTGCGAGAATGGATTCCTAAGTCAGGAATTTGCGCAGGTGATATAACTACATGCAGGTAGAAATCAGTCACTCTCCCTGGACACATTGATCGTGCATCCACAGAGTGATTGATTCCTAACTACATGTTATCATATCACATACCATTACATGCGGTGTCCTGACATTTACATGCAGCAACGGTCACCTGATCATTAACTTGTACAGGTGACAGCTGCCACATGGAAAATGCAAATACCTGACACAGGAATCTATTTTGGCACCTAAACTTATAGGCATTTCAGGGGGCGTGGCTTGCGATCATCGCAAGTACGATCTGCCTATGCAACATAGGCAGATCGTACGTTTTTTTAAGTACCTTACAACCATCGCAAGACAGAAGTCTTGCGATGGTTGTAAGGTGTGTGCCCAGCCTTACAATTAATCTGCAGATTTTCTATGGTCAGATGGAAAAGGTGCAACAGATTCCTCCATCTACACTTAACTGTGTGGATGGCGTAATCTCCACTTGGGCCAATCTGTTTCACTTTTTCCATCTGACCCCAGAAAAGCTGCAGATAAATTGTAATGTGTATGGGCAGCTTTATCCTTCCTTTTAGCTGGAGCTCAGAACTCTAGCCGAAAGGAATTACCGAGTGTTGGAGCTGACAGGAGCAGCTATGCGGTCTGCATATGACAGAGATGCAGACCGCGTAGCTGTTCCCACAAGTCAGGTACGCTGTATCCGAGTTGACAGCCGGCTGCGGGCCGAATGGTACCGGTTCACGGCCGGAATTGGTCCGACGGCTGGTACTTTGAGACGAGAAGAGGCTGTGCCACCCTGAAGCCGCAGCCTTGTGGGAAATCCGGCCCTGATCACAGGAGTGAGCTTGGAGTGTGGTCTACTTTACAACACACACAGGGTCCATGGAGAACACAAGTAGCCCCCTCCAGAAGGAAGGACAGTGTCAGCACCAATTCAGAGATGATTTTATGATCTACAGCTGAGTGATACACAAATAAGATACATTTTGTATTTTTAAGATGTAAATCTGGGAGTTTAGAGTCACATGAAACGTGTACAACTGTAGGTGTTCAAGCTTGGAGCGTAGCATAGCTTCCACAGGAAAAACCAATAAAGTGCTAGGACACCTGGTGTGTACATGTCGGTTTTTGTAGGGCGGTGACAGGAGGATGACGATAACAGCTCTGAAGCCTCCACCTTTACTACTAAGCCCGGACGACTCGCTACTATATGACTGTTACGCAGTTTTCCTTTATGTCATTGGCCCTCCGCTTCCCGTCCTCACCTTTCTACAGGCCCCGCCTACTCTGTCAAGCCAGCTCCCCACACAACCCCGCCGGCAGTCAACAGCAGTAGCGCCATGACAGCAGGCAGGCCACCACGCAGACCGACTTACGGCAACACCACCCCTAGCAACCAATAAGTGTCCCGCTATTAGTGCATTACCGCCCCGATCAAAGGATAGAAGAGCGAGGATTGGGCACTGCTCAGACTCCGCACTTTCTTTTTTCCTGCCCACGTGATCTCGTGCTCGCGCTCCAGGCCCCTCCCGTTGCGGTTGGCGCTCGTCCCCGCCGGCTGCGCCCGCCCTTCTGTGTCGCTGGGAGCGCGCAGGGAAACCCCGTGCAAGCGCCGCCGCCATCTTGGGAGACAGAGGGAGAGCGGAACCCCCGATACCCGCCGCACACACCCGGCCAGAGGAGGAAGAGAAGGGGGCACCTCTCTAGCAGGTGAGCAACGCACGACAACCCGAATTCGGGCCAGTTCATCCTGAGTTCGCCCAGAACCGGGTCCGTTTCAACATTCAGCAGCATCCGGGTCACTGCAGTCATAATCTAGATCTGACAACCCCGGTTCATGTCATTCTCCTCACCTCAAATCTGTTCCCCTTCATGAAAATTTCCCCCCATTGTGTCACCCTTCCCCCGTGACACCCTGTCATTTCTCAAGTTACACCCCGGTCAGACTCCGGGCTCCCCCGCTGTACAGCCCTGTCACCCCCAGCAGTTCCCATATTACACCCTAGATGAGGCTTCCATTTTACCCCAGTGTGATTACACCAATTTGGTACCCCCCGTGCCCAGAACCCAAATCACGCCCTGCCATTCTGTGTCACCCCATTATATCCCTTTAATCCTCCATAGTGCACTGTGTCTGGGTGCTTCTGGTAGCCCTGGACCCTAACTACCCCCATTCTGCTCCTCCAGCCTATCACCCCATAACACCTACTGGGGGGCAGTATATGTGACAGTACTCTCCTAGGTCCTGTATGGCACTCCCAGTGTCATGTGACCCCCGCCCCAGTGGTCTCCCATATACCTGCATGTCCCATATGACTGCTCCAGTGTCTCATACATGTATACTGTCCTTATATCACACTGATCAACATTCTAGTCCCCTCTATGACTGCCCCAGTGTCACATGTATACCCCCCACATATCACACTGATCACCATTCTAGGCCCCTCTGACTGCCCCAGTGTTGCATATATACCCCCTACATATCACACTGATCATTATTTTAGGGCCCTCTATGATTGCCCCAGGGTCACAAATAGAGTGCCCACACATCGCACTGATCACCATTGTAGGCCCCTCTATGACTGCCACAGTGTCACAAATATACCGCCCACACATCACACTGATCACCATTGTAGGCCCCTCTATGACTGCCACAGTGTCACATATATACCCCCACACATAACACTGATCACCATTGTAGGCCCCTATATGACTGCACCAGGGTCACTCACATCACACTGATCACCCTTCTTGGCCCCTCTGTTATTATATATATATATATACACACACACACACATTCCCACACATAAATTTTGAACCCCATTCTAGGCTCCTATATGACTCCCCCCAGTATCACATATATTGCCCCCCTGGGTCCTATATGTCCACCCTAATGTCACTTCTATAACCTCCATATATCACACTTACCCCTCGCCTAGGGTTCTATATGACCACCCTAATGGCACATATAAGCCTCACGTATCACACCACCGCCTCCTAGTCCTGCATATGGCTATCGTATTGTTACATAAATACCCCTCCCATATCACACTGAACCCCCTCCCAGGGTCCTGTGTGACTGCCTCAGTGTTACTTATTATTATTATTATTATACAGGATTTTTATTGCGCCAAAAGTTTGCACAGCGCTTTACAATATAAGGAAGACATTACAATCACAATACAGTACAAGACAAGATGGTAAGGAGGGCCCTGCCCGTAAGAGCTTACAATCTAAAAGAGATACTTATAACCCCTACACATCACACTCTCCTCCTGCATCCAAGGTCCTGTGTGGCCACCATAGTGTCACATATACAGCGCACACATATCACACCGATTTAGCCCCCCCCCATCACATATAAATCCCCCACATTTCACACTGGCCCTCTAGTGACACTTTGAAATCTGCCAGTGCCCACCAATCCTCCATCCCTTTCTTACCCCATACCACCCTGGCCTGCTCTTCAATCCTTTGTGTGCAGACATGGGGTGACACATTGCATCACCTGTCAGTGGGAGGGGTTGCAGGACGCCCAACACAACTACACCCTTCCGCTCTTCCTCTTTTGTTGTTACTCTTACGTCTGGTAGACCAGGGTTGTCACCTGTCCCCCCCCCCCATTATGTGTGTAGGGAAGGGGAGGACGGACTGTTCCAGGGAAGGGTGCATGTACCGGAAGTGCGTTCTGCCTCTTGTTTATCCTCCAGCGTTGCCGGTGGTACCGTCTCCACCTTTTATTTCTATAGACAGGGAGTGCGAGAGATCTCCCGGGGCCAGCGCTGCTTGTTAACCCTTTCCTGGGATCCTGGCTGCTGTTGCAGTCACTGAAGGGAGAACAAAGCTTATGAATGCAGCTTTCCTGATCAGAAGCTGCAACTATATGCAGGTTTGACTGGGCCATCTGGGCCAAATGTGCTTTCCATTAGATTGTTGCCTGAAGATTTAGTGGGCCAAGTAAAGCTGGCCGGCTTTGTCTTCTGACCATTGCAGCATTGTCCTCTTAATTGGGGCCTTCAACTTTTTGATTTTTCCACCTTTCATCCCTGCAGTTTTGGGGGTGTTTAGTGCTTTCTTGGTAAAGTTGGTGTTAATCTGCTTTGTTTGATTATTACAGATTGTGTGTGTTGTGTGACTGTCGATGGAAATTGCCTAGTTTACGCAAATGTTTTCTTTCTGCAAAGGATTGTGCATTGTCAGTAGTTGGTTGTGTATGACGACACTGACGCAGTCCATGTGCGGCGTAACTTGTGAGCGTCTCTGATACCTCTAAGATGGGGCATTAACGGGTACCCATATACCACATCTAGTGACGCCTTGTATTCCTGGACTGCTGTATAGCTTGTAGGGAGGGAAGGGGATCCACTGCTTGAAATAACCGGTCAGGTTTTGCACTCTGAATACTCAGTGCACTCATCACTCTCCTCCATTGTTTACCCAACATACACTGGGTGTGATTTGAGGGAATCTTGAGCTGAGAGGATATGGAGACAGTCATTGCCGACCAGCTGCCTGGCTGTCATGCTAATCTAAAGGCTTTACTACCTCTGTGACATAGACATAAAATAAGCATGCAGATCAGGAGGTCTGACTTCACTTACTGCATGCTTGTTCCTGGCCAGTTACTGAATACAAAGATCATTAGATCAACAATGACAGGCTCTGCATTCCTCTGAAGTGTCCTTCCCTTACAAGCTTCCTCTTTGTCCTATACTGGTATTGTGTGTGTGTGTGTGTGACAGTTGAGGAAGACTGACATGGCCGGACGCTATGACATGGTCCAGCTGTACAGGAATAATAAGTGCTAAGACTGTAGAAATAAATGTACGGCAATGCAAGCAGTGCTGTCATTTCAGTCTATGAACTGTCTTGAATGATAATTGCTCCCAGCTAGGTTTGTGCAATGCCAGTAGAAGGGTCACTCTTGTACCTATAATGCTAGTTTCTTTGAAGCTCTTCTGTTGTCTGTGAAAGCATGTGGTCTTCCTTAGCGCCTGCCTGATAGTAGATTATAGTGACTGCTTCCTGAATGTAATACTTTTCTGAGGTACCCATTTAAAACAAACATGTAAATTAGGATTTTTTGACTTGCTGTGTGCTTGTTCCAGGCCTGACTCAAAGTATTAAAGCGGACCTTCCACCCCTCCCCTTCAGTTGAAGCTACATCTTATACTTTAATAGTTGTTGCAAAATAAACACATTTAGTGATGAATACTTTCTAATGTTTTCTCCTTATTGAGTCATTCTAATGTGTCTCCTCCTCCAAACTGACTGTCATCAGTGGCTGACTTCTTCCTTAATTTTGCTGCCAGCCCACCAATGACATCAGTTCCAGATTAATGAGCTTTTCCCCTAGATCTTGTGAGATTTAAGAGGGAAAAGCCCATTTATCCTTTTTATCTACAAGAGTTCCCAGGGAAAGCACTGGTGATGTCGCCGTCTCAGGGGGCAGCTTTGGGGCCAGGTCTAGGTCACCAGTGCCTCAACAAATCAGGAAGTGGGATTACATTAACAGTAAGACCCTATTCATACCAGTGTGACAGCGTTTCAGCTTACGCGCTTTTTTTATGTGCGTTTTACAGGCCTTTTCTGTTCATATGCAATAGCGTTTTAAGCTGCGTTTTCAGCTCATTTTACAGTTTTACAATGAAAAGCAGTCTGAGCTGCAAAACGCACAAAAAGCGCATAAACGCACTGATCAATGTTTCCATTGAAGTCTATGGAGCAAAAGGGACCGATAAATGCCACAAAAGAAGCTCGGGGACTATTTCAAACAGCAGGCATATTTTGATGCGTGATTCAGTGCATTTGTGTGAACGGCCCCATAGGAATGCATTGGATTTTATGTTGCATGCATTTCAGCGTGGAAAAAAATGTGCAACGACTCGTCCTGGTGTGAACGGGGCCTTACAGAAGGCCTTTTTTAAAATAATGAGTGGAAGATGTTTTGATATTTGCAAGCAGAGCTACGGACAATAAAGAATTGGCTGATAGCATTTTTAGAAGGACGTCATCAATTGCAGCCCCAATGTTTGATAGGCATTTTTTTATCTGTTTCAAGGGAACAAGCTTTCTGCTGCAGGTGTGCGGTGTTTGTTAGGGGCCGACATCACAGCCAATGAGCCTTGTGTTTTTAAAGTTTTTGTGTCAAAAGGAGTTAATGTGTCCATCTGTCCGTCTGAGCGGTGTACTGCATGGCGACACCTGACCAGTCATTTAGTGTCCATCTGTCCGTGTGAGCGGTGCACTGCATGGCAACACCTGACCAGTCATTTACTGTCCATCTGTCCGTCTGAGCGGTGTACTGCATGGCGACACCTGACCAGTCATTTTGTGTCCGTCTGTCCGTGTGAGAGCGGTGCACTGCATGGCGACACCTGACCAGTCATTTTGTGTCCATCTGTCCGTGTGAACGGTGCACTGCATGGCGACACCTGACCAGTCATTTTGTATCTTGCAAAGTGCTGAATATTTGTTGTTTCCACGGCAGGGAGGCTTGATGATGATCATGCTTTTTCCGAAATGACTTGGAGTGAAAAGATTGTCGTGGTAAATGGCTGTTCTGACTGGCCTAAAGTTTTCCAGCGTGCTGAAAGATCCTGCAGTTAAGTCTCCAGATGTTGGCTGCATCAGAATGCTTGTTTGGTGCTCACACATGGCTGAATGATCTCAGATTGTATTATCAGGCATTCATTAAATTCGCTGTCATGTCATGGTTACACAGCTGTAGTCTCCAAACCCTTCTGATCTGGGACTATAATGACTCAAATTCTGAAAGATGTCTGATGATGATGTGAATGTTTGGAAAGGATTTCGCCACACAAAGGGAACACAGAAATGTCTGCCCCTTGCCAAGCAAGTGTCTTTATGGTCCACAGACTCCTCCAGTGGGGGTATTACCTGGTGACATTCTATGCATTGACCCAGCACACATTCCTCTGGTGCCATCCGCACTCTGAGGTCACCTATAGGCACCACACTCCACGCCCCCCCCTTTTTGTCAAGTTCAGTCATATGATTCTGGAGTCCATTCATATGTCATGAGGGAACTGTATTAACTGCCTCTGAAAACGCTTAATTGCCTGATTTTGGTTTCAGTACCTTTTCAAGTACAGACCCAGAACAAGTATGAAGCCACAAAGTCTGTAGAGGGCTACATTTCTTATCGCCACTTGTGCCTTGCAAGCCAGGCAACTAGTATTTTCAGATGAGGAAATGAATGGCAGCCTACAGGTGTACTTTAATGCAAATCTGCCATGTGTGAATCTAGATCAGAAGACTAGCTATTCTGCTGCTACTTAATCCATGGTTTTGAGGCCTTACATTTAAATCTGAACTCCAGACACAAACACTTTCATTTAAATATAATCGCAAAGGATATAAATCCACATTTTTGGCACCAAATGCTGTTGCAAACCCTGATGTTATCTTGTGAAAGTAGCATTGACATCGCTGCACATAACCTGTGAGAGGGGTCCACTGCACGGAGGCAAGGTTTCACACTGGATTACTGCACAGGTCTGGAAGAAATACACAACGCTCACCAAGATTCGGGTAAAAATACACATGGCTCTTGTATTTAGACAATAGTTGCTATAAACCCCCAACTGCAGAGCAGAAATCTGCATGGAGTCTGGACTTTGCAGATTATGGTTTAAAATGGCTGCTTCCATTAAGCACTGGGCTTTATCAGTTCCCCCTAATTTTATGTGGCAGATGTACCCAAAATAATGATGGTGATAACCAATAGTCTTTTCTGTTTCTGTCAGTAGAAGCAGATATTCCTGGGCTCCAACATTTTACTTGATTTGCTTCAGCCCTGTGTTCAATGTTAGTGGAAACTTTTACATTATTAATTGTGAAGCGCTGCACGCTTAGTTCTTTTCTTGGTCACGTCAGAAACTACAAAGCCTGATGGGATTTGTAGCTTCACCACAGCTGGAGGGCTGCAGTTTGGCTACCCCTGCAATAAAGCACGGCCAGGCTAATCCCAGGACTTGGGTAGCCAATGTGCCTGAACCTTGTTGAATGTTCTATATTTTTCTCTCCAGTGATAGTTTAGCTTATTTTGGAGAAATGTCAATAGGTACTACAGTGAGTGCTCATTGTGACCCCCCATAATTCTGCTTCAAGAGATACTAAGATCACTGGTTGGAAAGATGCATGTGGTTGCATTGACTTCAGCTAAGAACATTTGCTGCTTCTAGAGGTGTGCTGTCACTGACGTTTTCTCATGTAGTCTGTTGTGGGTGTTCAATGAAGGCGTCTTGTCTGCAGCATTACTCTTAGGTTGATGCTTGTATACAGAGGCCTTTACATTTCATGCCACTTTGGTGTTCTCGCATCTGATGAACTTTCATCTCGTACCTTGCCCTGTAAATTACATTTACGATGTGGTTGCTATAGGAAACACACCGCCCAGCAGCCAGCACCAGTGTTCTCATTCATATGAGCTACAGAAATTGCTTGGTTTTGCTGCGTGTCCCATGTTGGCATTTCTCCCAGTTCTTAAACTCCAATCTGATCTGTTTAGTGTCCCCAGTGGGCCCTTCTGCTGCTTTGTACACAGACCGATCCCCAGCTGTAACCAGACCTGTAGAAATACAATGTCATCACATAATGGCAGCCGGTGTCTGAATAAACTCTTTAAACCATTTCTGCCTTTCAGCCCCTCCCAACATTCCTGGGCTGGCTGATCATGTGACGAGCAGACATGTGACCAGCTGACATAACGCACAGATGTGCTTTCTGTGGTTACTGCACTGGCCTGTCACTGAATCTTGCCTGATAAAAGCAGATGCAGCATTTCCTGGGAGGAGGGGAAATCATAAGCCAACTTTACTTTCCTATTTCTACTTCATGTCTGTTATTTCTGACTTTCTATTTCACAGAATTCTGTTCACTGCACACCAAAGGTCAGTCTGAATCTGCTGTGTACTGAATACATTTTATACAGCTGGAATACTGCATAGTAATGGAGGGGAGGAAGCGTGAAACATTGGTTATATTTAGTGACTGATTGTCTTGGGTGAATGATTCCTGTTATCTCTCTGCCCCTCTCCATGGCGATTGTCCCTGCGCTGTCATCCTTTGCGCTCTTCTGGTTTGGTGCTTGGAGTTCACATTAGTACAAGTCTCTGACTCTCTGACTGTGCACATCTCAGTGCCGTCTGTTATCTTTGCCTTTTCAAATGACCAAAAAGCTTTATTGCTGTAAAATACAAAGCAATCGCCATCCAATTAAGAGAAGTATGATATCCTGCTGCCATCGTGGTGAGACTCTTCCTGTAGGTGCAGAAATGTGGCTTGAGCTCTAGTTTGTATTTCACACTAAAATGGATTTGTCTCTGTTGGTAGAATGTTGTTTGTCTGGTAAGCCTGCGTTGTGCTGCATCACTGCTACATTCTGCTGGAGTGACAGTTTTATTAGTATGTTTATGGCTGTATACATTGTACTGCAGTTGTGTCCTGTATCGGGAAAGGAAGTGACTGCACTGCAAGTCTTCACAATCTAGCCTTTATCTTGTGTGTTTGGAGTAAAGCAATCCCCTTGTTAAGCTGACACACCACATGAGTGGACAGGGGTGTGGAAATTTTGGAAAAAAACTACTTGTCCAAGGGCTAAAGCGGGGCCGAATCTACTTGTCCCCCATGACAATCTACTTGTCCTGATACAAAAAAAATTATTTTAACCAAAACCGTATTTAGCAGTGCTAAGAAGCGCTTCTCATTGGTCAGTGCCGTCAGGTGACTGCGTTTACCAACGAGTGCTTGCAATTTGCGAGCGAAATTCAGACTACATGGAACAAGTACAGGTAGTACACCCGTACTGGTGGAGGTGGAAGGACCGTTTGCTGAAAGGTAAGTATAGTGGGAGGAAGATTTGTGCGGGTAATTCCATTTTCCCAAATTACTTGGGAAAGTGAATATACCCTTTAGGGTTAGTGCAGACTTGGGGATTCCCAGGACGTGCGATCTTGTGCGGTTGCATACAGCGGTTGCATCCGCATGTATGGGGTTACAGCTGTGTGGCAATCGCTGAAAAAAAGGTAGATGTAACTATTTTCACGACATGCACCGCGCAGTGTTTTCAGTGTTTTCCGTGATCGCCCGCGGCGGTATTGCAGTAGGAAAACGCGCAATCTGCCTGCGGATGACTGGGGTGCCATTAGAAAATAATGGCACTGACAGCACGATCGGCGGTGGTGTGCGATTCCGTGACCACCCAGCCATCCGCTCGATTTTGTGCACGATGACCGGACAGTCACAGATCGCACACCACTGCCGATCGCGCTGGCAGTGCCATTATTTTCTAATGGCACCCCAGTCATGCCAGGCAGAGTGCGCGTTTTCCTGCTGCAATACCGCCCTGCCCGTGCGGTTGCACACGATTGCAGTTGAAAACACTGCACGTTTATTCGCGTGCAGATGGGGGCAGTGGGGCTGGTTTTAATTTTTTCTGTTTTTATTTACTTTGTAAAAAATGTTCATTTGTTTTATTATTTTTACTTAATCGCCTTTTTATTTTTTCATTTTTATTTAGTTACATTTTTAATTAATATTTTTTTCTTTTTAACTATTTAAAAAAACAAAAACTTTTTATTGTATTGCTATATCACACAGGGAATAATAATCCCCTGTGTGATAGCATTTGGAGGTGACAGGTACTCTTTATTGACCCTGTCACCTCCAACACAGGAGTTGTAGCACAGCACTGTTGCTAGAACTCCTGTGACAGGAACGAGCAGCGGCTGCCGGGGACAGAGGCTGGGGGAGGTGACGGAGCCTGTCACAGCTCCACGGCCCTTGCTCCATCACGACTCCACGCCCCTCGCTCCATCACGCCCTCTGCTCCATCCCCATCTCATTCAACCCTTCGTCCCTGCTCAGTCACGGCACCACGCCCCTCGCTCCGTCACGCCCTCTGCTCCGTCCCCATCTCATTCAACGCTCCGTCCCCGCTCTCGGCACTCCATGCCCCCCGCTCGTAGCGCCGCTCTCGGCGCTCAAAGAAAGCCAGCCCTGCTACTTGTCCTTAGCAGGGCTAAAACAGTGCAAAAACCACTTGCCCGGAACTACATGTCCCGGGCGTCGGGCGATACGAATTCCACACCCCTGGTGGATATAAAAGTTTTAGTGATTATACTAACTGCAAACTCTTTCTGCATGTATGGTTTGTATATATTTTAAATCCCTCATAGAATAATCAGACAAGTGTGTGTGGCTATGACACAACGACACGCATCATTTTTATATTATCTAACGTTGTTGCATGTTTATTTTGCAAATACAATATTTTAGAGTTGTCAGCCTTCATGGAGCGATATTTTGCATGAGGTTCTGTATGACGATCTGTAGTGCATCATATGTTGCCATACATCTGCGAGTAGCCAGATACAGAGACCATTGATCAGCCTTGCATGACTCACCAATGTTGGCTGTGTGTGGAAGCAACACACACATCCACTGACCTCCCTTTCACATCTGCGCCCACCTTTAGTTATTTTTCCTGCGTTAAACTAACATCTGTGTCAAAAATTGATCTGCCTGATGATAAAGACCTAGCTCAAACCCACAGACATTCTCCCATCTGGTAATCTGGATGTTATCAGTAATGTTTGTTCTCTTTCTTCCTTCAGGGATTTGTAATAGACGTCTGTGACCGCTGATCATCTTTGTTGCACATCATACAAAAGGTAATAATGCAGTTTGTCTTCATTTTCCTACCACCCGTGACTTTAGGAATCTCTAGGATTCGAGTACAGACAGGAACCTTCGCTCCAGGAATTAAGAAATACATGTTGGGGTGTTTGTAATCTACTCTCTCACAGTACTCTGTCATAGCCCATCATTGTAGTTATACCACATTAATGTGCGCAACATGCCTTACTGTTAGATCCTGATAATAGCAGTGTCACAAATAAATGTTATTACAGCACAGGCTAGAATAGTGAGTTTGTTTCACTTGGCTATCAGATTAAAAAACAAATCCTACTATGTCAGCAGTAGCACCAGCATGTAAGCAATGTTTACATTTCTACTGGCCGTCTAGTAGAAGTGAGTTCAGGTGGCTGTAAAGCTGCCCGATCTTGTCTGCATGCTCAATCATTTTAGCTGCTGTAGAGCAGTTCTTCTACCTTTTTATCACATTATGATGAAGGTAATCTTCTACATTCTCATGTTCTGCCCTTTGTGTCCACTCACTCATCCAAATCTCAGAGCTTTCAATCCTGCAGGAAGCAGAATGAGGGCGATTAGGGTCTGTTCAGTGGGATAATCGTCACCAGAGGAGGAAAAAGTCAGAAAAAATTTTGCTGACTGTAATAGAAAAGATTTTGATTCTGAGACCTGATTTTGATCTTTCTTCTAGAGGCTCCAAATAGGGCTTGTAGTCAGAATATGGGGGTTCTGGTTGAAAAAAAAAAAGACAATAAAGGTAGTCTTCTACATTCTCACGTTCTGCCCCTTGTGCCCACTTACTCATCCAGATCTCAGAGCCTTCACTCCTGTAGGAAGGTGTGTGTGTGTGTTCCATAAAGGTGCCCATACACCTTACGACCATCGTAAGACTTTTGTCTTGCGATGGTCGTATGCTTCTTGAAAGCCCGTACGATCTGCCCACCTTGGACAGGCAGATCGTACTTGCGATCATCGAAAGCACGCCCCTCTGAGGGACGGGCTTCCGATGACGGCAATGCAGAACGGGCAGTGTGCGCGTGCGCACACCGGCCCGTTCCGCAGCTTACGGGCGAGCAGGCTAGAAACCCGCCGAGAATCGTACGATTCTCGGTGGGTTTTCGAACATGTTGGCTCGACAAAAGACGTGCGACCGTACAGGAGAAACGGTCGCACGTCTTAGTTCACACTGCTCGATTCTCGTACGGTCGCGGGATTTCGCCCGATTCTCGTACGAGAATCGAGCAATGTATGGGCACCTTAAGACATTGTTGAAGAAACCTAATCAAACAACGTTTGCCTTATCACTGGAAGTACAGCTGTGTTCAGTGCAGATCAACTGTCTCTGTACTCTATATGTCTATTATAATTTAGATTGCAGGAAAGCTATACATCTGACATTTGTAATATCCACCTGCGGAGTGACTGCTGTGAATCTCACAAGCTTATCTTTATTTTTAACATGTTGGTGCATCCAGTTTCCCATGATTAGGGGTGATATTCTGCAGGGTTCAGGTTTTTTTGCTCTCACTTGAACTGAACCCCCTCCAGCGTTTATATTTGCCATTATTTTCTAATGGCACCCCAGTCATGCCAGGCAGATTGCGCGTTTTCCTGCTGCAATACCGCCCTGCCCGTGCGGTTGCACGCGATTGCAGTTGAAAACACTGCACGTTTATTCGCGTGCAGATGGGGGCAGTGGGGCTGGTTTTAATTTTTTCTGTTTTTATTTACTTTGTAAAAAATGTTCATTTGTTTTATTATTTTTACTGAATCGCCTTTTTATTTTTACATTTTTATTTAGTTACATTTTTAATTAATATTTTTTTCTTTTTAACTATTTAAAAAAACAAAAACTTTTTATTGTATTGCTATATCACACAGGGAATAATAATCCCCTGTGTGATAGCATTTGGAGGTGACAGGTACTCTTTATTGACCCTGTCACCTCCAACACAGGAGTTGTAGCACAGCACTGTTGCTAGAACTCCTGTGACAGGAACGAGCAGCGGCTGCCGGGGACAGAGGCTGGGGGAGGTGACGGAGCCTGTCACAGCTCCACGGCCCTTGCTCCATCACGACTCCACGCCCCTCGCTCCATCACGCCCTCTGCTCCATCCCCATCTCATTCAACCCTTCGTCCCTGCTCAGTCACGGCACCACGCCCCTCGCTCCGTCACGCCCTCTGCTCCGTCCCCATCTCATTCAACGCTCCGTCCCCGCTCTCGGCACTCCATGCCCCCCGCTCGTAGCGCCGCTCTCGGCGCTCAAAGAAAGCCAGCCCTGCTACTTGTCCTTAGCAGGGCTAAAACAGTGCAAAAACCACTTGCCCGGAACTACATGTCCCGGGCGTCGGGCGATACGAATTCCACACCCCTGGTGGATATAAAAGTTTTAGTGATTATACTAACTGCAAACTCTTTCTGCATGTATGGTTTGTATATATTTTAAATCCCTCATAGAATAATCAGACAAGTGTGTGTGGCTATGACACAACGACACGCATCATTTTTATATTATCTAACGTTGTTGCATGTTTATTTTGCAAATACAATATTTTAGAGTTGTCAGCCTTCATGGAGCGATATTTTGCATGAGGTTCTGTATGACGATCTGTAGTGCATCATATGTTGCCATACATCTGCGAGTAGCCAGATACAGAGACCATTGATCAGCCTTGCATGACTCACCAATGTTGGCTGTGTGTGGAAGCAACACACACATCCACTGACCTCCCTTTCACATCTGCGCCCACCTTTAGTTATTTTTCCTGCGTTAAACTAACATCTGTGTCAAAAATTGATCTGCCTGATGATAAAGACCTAGCTCAAACCCACAGACATTCTCCCATCTGGTAATCTGGATGTTATCAGTAATGTTTGTTCTCTTTCTTCCTTCAGGGATTTGTAATAGACGTCTGTGACCGCTGATCATCTTTGTTGCACATCATACAAAAGGTAATAATGCAGTTTGTCTTCATTTTCCTACCACCCGTGACTTTAGGAATCTCTAGGATTCGAGTACAGACAGGAACCTTCGCTCCAGGAATTAAGAAATACATGTTGGGGTGTTTGTAATCTACTCTCTCACAGTACTCTGTCATAGCCCATCATTGTAGTTATACCACATTAATGTGCGCAACATGCCTTACTGTTAGATCCTGATAATAGCAGTGTCACAAATAAATGTTATTACAGCACAGGCTAGAATAGTGAGTTTGTTTCACTTGGCTATCAGATTAAAAAACAAATCCTACTATGTCAGCAGTAGCACCAGCATGTAAGCAATGTTTACATTTCTACTGGCCGTCTAGTAGAAGTGAGTTCAGGTGGCTGTAAAGCTGCCCGATCTTGTCTGCATGCTCAATCATTTTAGCTGCTGTAGAGCAGTTCTTCTACCTTTTTATCACATTATGATGAAGGTAATCTTCTACATTCTCATGTTCTGCCCTTTGTGTCCACTCACTCATCCAAATCTCAGAGCTTTCAATCCTGCAGGAAGCAGAATGAGGGCGATTAGGGTCTGTTCAGTGGGATAATCGTCACCAGAGGAGGAAAAAGTCAGAAAAAATTTTGCTGACTGTAATAGAAAAGATTTTGATTCTGAGACCTGATTTTGATCTTTCTTCTAGAGGCTCCAAATAGGGCTTGTAGTCAGAATATGGGGGTTCTGGTTGAAAAAAAAAAAGACAATAAAGGTAGTCTTCTACATTCTCACGTTCTGCCCCTTGTGCCCACTTACTCATCCAGATCTCAGAGCCTTCACTCCTGTAGGAAGGTGTGTGTGTGTGTTCCATAAAGGTGCCCATACACCTTACGACCATCGTAAGACTTTTGTCTTGCGATGGTCGTATGCTTCTTGAAAGCCCGTACGATCTGCCCACCTTGGACAGGCAGATCGTACTTGCGATCATCGAAAGCACGCCCCTCTGAGGGACGGGCTTCCGATGACGGCAATGCAGAACGGGCAGTGTGCGCGTGCGCACACCGGCCCGTTCCGCAGCTTACGGGCGAGCAGGCTAGAAACCCGCCGAGAATCGTACGATTCTTGGTGGGTTTTCGAACATGTTGGCTCGACAAAAGACGTGCGACCGTACAGTAGAAACGGTCGCACGTCTTAGTTCACACTGCTCGATTCTCGTACGGTCGCGGGATTTCGCCCGATTCTCGTACGAGAATCGAGCAATGTATGGGCACCTTAAGACATTGTTGAAGAAACCTAATCAAACAACGTTTGCCTTATCACTGGAAGTACAGCTGTGTTCAGTGCAGATCAACTGTCTCTGTACTCTATATGTCTATTATAATTTAGATTGCAGGAAAGCTATACATCTGACATTTGTAATATCCACCTGCGGAGTGACTGCTGTGAATCTCACAAGCTTATCTTTATTTTTAACATGTTGGTTCATCCAGTTTCCCATGATTAGGGGTGATATTCTGCAGGGTTCAGGTTTTTTTGCTCTCACTTTAACTGAACCCCCTCCAGCGTTTATATATTTTCTGCATGTGGGTGGGCAGTCATCTCAGACAGAGCAGTGAGGCATTTTGGGTTCTTTGCTGAGCGTTTAGCTACAGCTTGTGAATGATTGCTACATTGTAAATAATATCTCACACACTGTCTATCAACATTGCTTTTCCACAAATGACTTTTATAGAGTACCAGTCAGGATTGGGCTCATGGAAGAATCTGAACATTTGATATGTTACTCTAGACTTATCAATGAAAGGCTAATATTTAGCTCATTTGAAGATGGTAAGACCAAGATAAGAGTTCTCCTGAGGTCGGAAGGTTGCTTTCTTAACAGCTGCCTGAACCTATCCTGGTAAAACTGTCTTCAGGCTCCAGAGTAACCATAACCATATCAAACACAGGACATGATGAAGTTTACATTCCTTTTATCTACAGGGCTGTTTTTCCTAACTGCAGATATGTCTTCTCCACCCTAGTATAGTGGCTCCTTAGGGAATATGTTGGCATATACAGAGAGGCACATTTGTATATTCGAGCATTAACATTTGGAGAACAAAGCGGATCCACTTTAAAGTCACTGTGTCTGCAGTAAACATACTGTCACTGACTTGCTAGAAACACAGGGACTTGACAAATCCCAGGAGCAATATGGCTTGAAAGTGTGCAACCTTCTACTGTTCAGAAGAGAATGTTCTGACTTGCTTTTGTGCTTTCTCCATTCTGTCAAATCTCCCATCACTCAGCCTAACTAGAAATTCAAGTTCCTGCAGTGTGACAGTGCTTCCAGTACAGAAGGCAGTGAACGTTTACAGTCTGCAGCACCAGCAGTTCCCTCAATCTTCTGCACATTTTAACTCATAGGGATCTGTCTGTTAGCTTTTCTTTTTATTTCAATATATAAAAATGTTTCAAACAAAATACTCCTTGACTTTTATAGAGAGGTTACATAGTTACATAGTATTTGAGGTTGAATAAAGACGCATGTCCATCAAGTTCAACCTGTTTTGTGTATGTGTATGGTCCTACTGATGTGTGCGTATGTATAGGTCCCGGTTTGTTATCATTCTTAAAAGTACCTGTACCCCTGTATATTACGGTCCCTGAGGAAATCGTCCAATTGCCTCTTGAACGATTCCACCCTCTCAGCCGAAATCACAGCATGTGGCAGCGAGTTCCAGACCCTGACTCCTCTAACTCAGAAGAAACCCCTTCGCCCCTTGTGCTGACACTTTTTCTCCAACAATTTTAGGTGGTGGCCTCTCGTCCTTGTCATGGAGTTAATTGTAAAAAGTTTGCTGCTAATGTTACTATCCCCGGTAAACATTTTGTACATGAAAATCATTTCCCCCCCCTTAATCTCCTTCCAATGAGAACATATTTAAATTTAGTAGCCCGTTGTTATAGCTCAGGTCCTCCATCCCCTTTACGAATTTGGTTGCCCTCCTCTGGACTCTTTCCAGTTCAAGGACATCCCCTCTGTTTACTTGTGCCCAGAACTGGACCACATACTCTAGATGAGGCCGAACCAGTGATCTATAAAGTGGCAAAATTATAGACTTGTCCCTACAAAACATTCCCCTCTTAATACAGGACTCTACTTGCTTTGCTTACCGTGATTTACAGCCCTCAGCTATTCAACTGCCACAGGAGTGCTGATGGCTATTTGGAGTGAGAGCCCTGAAAGTGAGAGCAGTTGTACTGATTGTTAAGCTGGCCATACACTTTACAACCATCGCATGACTTTCATCGTGCGATGGTTGTAAGGTAATTAAAAGCTTGTACGATCTTCCCATCTTGGACAGGCAGATCGCACTTGCGATCATCGCAAGCTCGCCCCGCTGGGGCTTCCGATGACTGCAATGCTGAGCGGGCAGTGTGCGCTTGCGCACACGGGCCTGTGCGGCATTTGTCTTACGAGCACGCCACAAACTGGCGAAAATCTTACGATTTTCGGCTGGTTTTCCAACGTGCTCGTAAGACAAAAGACGCACGACCGTACAGTAGAAACGGTCGCACGCCTTCCATACACCTGCCGATTATGGTACGATCATGGGATTTGCCGCGATTATTGTACGATAAACGGCAGGTGTATGGCCACCTTAAGGTGGTTTGCTTCCAGGGATTCTCGCATAGCTAAATAGAAATCTATGGCAACACCTCCCTTCACATCTGATCTGTCTTGGCACAGCTGATCTCGGATATAGGCTCGGAAGTACACAACCCTCAGCTTTCCTATATAAGTTATTGAGCTGAGAGCCAATCTGTGAGTTAGATGGGAGGGTTTAGAAGCGCTTGTGCTCCATTTCTCAGCCCAGTGTTGGTAGGAATCGGCTTCTTGTTTATACTGCTTGTTCAGTCTGGTACTATTTGTCTCTGTGGATTGCTAGACAGTCCGACTGCCTGTTAATTCATTTTCCTTTGTTCCACAGCGCCGTCATGGCCACTGCACCTTACAATTACTCGTATATCTTCAAATACATCATCATTGGTAAGTGGATCAAACTACAGTAAGATGACGCTGAGAGAACGGTCAGGAAGTGGAGGAATTTGTGGGAGGGAGCTCTAGCCATTTACTGTGGCCACACTTTTGTGATGTCAGAGCACACCATGGTGAGATTCGCAGCATGATAGTTCAGTAAGCAGAGTATGTTGAATTATCTGTTATAAGAACTAACTTCCATTCTCCAGCAGTCAATTTCCAGGGACAGTTTGGCTGCTGTAGGATGACAGTCAGTCCTCATTTCAGAGAATTTTGATAAATAGTGCCCACTAAGGGGGTGTTTTATGCATGTTATAAAAAGGGAAATGTATTTTCTTTATCATCCATTAAAAGACACAGCAATTCAGATACTGTTTGGTTACTCTAGCTACATTGCTACTTTAGCAGGTCTCTACATGGCATCTATCTGGATCAGCATTTTCTAACAGGGTTCCACTTGTAACGCTGTCCATACATTGATTGGTAGTAAGTTAGCCATGGAGTGCTTTCCAGGTTCAGAGCTGTGGCATTGCCTCAATGCTTGCCATGTGTCTGATATTCTATTGAGTAGGCCTATCAGGCTGAGCACTGGGAGCTACCTTGTTATTTGCAATGCTGGGCACTTTGCAAACGTCCCACTACTGGAATCCAGCGACACTGTGGTATAAGGTTTACCTCATTGGAGTCTCCCTTAGCTCCATCGGGTGAGGCCAAGCCCCCTACCCTGTTATCTGGGATGTCTAGTGCATTTACACAAGACCTTGTGGCCAAATTCACCCAATTCCTCCTGGATACTGGCCACAGAGGCCCCAAGCATGCTCTCATGCCTTTCCCTGCAGAGTCTGTCTCTAATCTTTGGAACAGGCCTGACCATCTTTGACTCAGACTGACTCAGACAGAACCTATCTCTCCCACACATTCTATATCTGATGCAGTTGTTTTTCAGGCTCTGGACTCCTGTTGTCACCTCCAGAATTACACGCAGTGTTTTGACCCTTATTGATGCAGTACACACAACCCTGCATGTGGACACTCTGCCTGATGTCTCCAGATTTGGGTCTTTTAGAGCCCCTACAGCTGCAAATGCATCTCCCCTATGCAGACTGGAAGCACCCTAAATAATCTTGGGCCGTATCTGTGTGTGTTGGAAGTGTTCCCCTTTAAGGAGGAATTTGTAAAATGGTAGTCTATACCTACCGTGGATTTATCAGTAACCCAACTAAACGGGGAAAACCACTAGACCTGTGGAGGGCATGCTTACCCTTAAGGATTATTCTGACCAGTGGTAGTAATCCCTCCATAAAATCACAATTTTTTTCTCTGGCAGGTTTTGTCCTTTGATGACTGTGACCCTAATCTGTCAAACTGTGGCAGAATGGGCTACATTTCCGAATAATGAACTCTCCACTTCAAGGATAGTCCCCTTCATTATAGACTGTGTGTGGAACAGATGTCTGGAGCCTTGGGCTTCAGCTGTTGAGGCTTGTTAGAAAGATCTAAACTTGTGTCCTACATGGGGATGATGCCTATACAGATGTGCAGATCAGTCTGGTTAAAGTGCTGAGATGCGTATGCCATCTACTAAGAGCACCTGACTTGCTTGGAGTTCAAGGCAAATTGTCTCTTTGGACCTACACTTGATACCATCATCAAGAATTAAAGGCCAGAATGTACACCTGCCTCGATTTATAGGAGGTCAAAGGAAAGGTTGGCTGAGTCCCATCTACTTGAAGTGCTCCCAGACCTCTAGAGCCAGAGTCTAGAGTCTGTTAGCCTGCAAAACCAAAAATCAGAAACTGGCCCTATTAAAAAAAAAAAAAAAAACATAACTACAAGCAGGAGGCTAATTGTGAATCCTTTGTGGGTTTGCCCTTCAGGCATTTAAGTGCAGAGAGCACCCCTTTGAGCTCACAGGCTAATCCCTTGCTGCCCCATTTTTTTCCTCCCTTGTGCTACCACACAGATTTAGGCCTCTTTCACATGGGAATTTCAATGTTGGTCTTTGGCAGCCGGATCTAAACGTACGTGCGTCTGTTTACATCCGATTACCCTTGACTCTAGTCAGGTCTGGAAAAACAAACGGACCAGAGTTCTGTTTTGGCAGTCCGTGTCCGTTTGCATCATAATCCCCATAGACCAACATGCTGGTAATTTCAGGTTTTTTTTTTTCTCCTCCATCCTGACATTCATTCCAATCAGCAAAGGATCCATGCACAGATCCCCTGCTGATCGTAACTGAATGCGCCCATGTGAAAGGGGCCTCAAGCACCTTCCCTTGCCCCCCATTACATTTTTCTCACCCTTGGACCCCTTACTCTAGCCTTCATGTCACCGCAGCTTCAGGAGAGACCCTGTGACCTACTAGGTCAGCAGGGAGCAGCCTTGATGGTTCCTCACCCAGATAGGGATTTCAATCCTTGGTTCACCTGATACTTCTCAGAGCATTGACTCCTGTGTTTGGCCTAGTGCCTTTTTCTAGCATCCCCTTTGTGGAACACTCAGACTACCACATGTGAAGAGAGTTGGCTTTGTGTATGCTTGTGGGCAACATCTCTCCAAAAGGCTAAGCGTCTGCAAGATCCAGCTAGATGTGGCTTCAACAGTATATACTGCTGGAATCTGCCATCCTAATGCGAGGGTAACCAACAGTTCCTTGCTGCAAAGGTCCACAGTATGTTTACCTTTTAGGTCCTTTGTCATCGGACACCCTTTCAGCCATTTTTGGGGGCCCTCATCTCAGAGTTGCCTATGTTGGTCTACTTTAGCCGCCTTCTCTGTGTGCAGCTTTGTTTTCACCACCAGGTTTGGGAAACCATCCTGCAGCAGGCGAGGTAGACTGGTTACTGTGCTGGATGATCATGCGAGTCTCTGCCTCGCTCGCACTAATCCTTTTTAAGCACAATGCGAATTTCCGGATCCCAATGCATCCGAATGTGTCAGTTTCCGAATTTCACATCCCGTCCAAATTTCGTTTAAAAATGAAACTTAATCGGATATGTGACTTTTCTGGCCAATTAGATGTGTTTTTCAGTTTAATGTATCCGAATGCGTCTGAATATGATTTTTTGTTACGGCAACATGGGAGCCATATACAGTACATATAATACTAAAGCTAAGGCTCCTAGACCCGAATAGCATTCGGGTCTGGGAGCCTCCGCTTTCGTAATATATGTACCCTGTTTCCCTGAAAATAAGACCTACCCCGAAAATAAGACCTAGTACTATTTTTGGGAATTGCTAAAATATAAGACCTACCCCGAAAATAAGACCTAGTTGTGACCATTGCCAGGGCAGGTGGTGGCATAAGGGGGTACCTGAAGAGCCGTGGGAGAGAATCAGCGGTGCCAATGAATGGAAAGGTATGGCACCCCTGATTGCCCTGATCACCCTATTCTTAACTTTGCCATTTTAGATTATTTAATTTGCATTAACTTTGGATTGTTACATTAAATAAAGAAAAAAAAGGACCTACCCCGAAAATAAGACCTAGTGTGTTTTGTGGAGCCCAAAAAAATATAAGACAGTGTCTTATTTTCGGGGAAACACGGTATATGGCTGCCAGACCCGAATGACATTCGGGAGCTCCCCAATGGGCCTAGTAGATTAATCTTCAGTATTAATATCTGTATATATGGTTTTCTGTGATATTCACGAATATTCAAAAACTCTTCCGAAACTAACAAAAATTCGTATTTCGTCTGAATCAACCCGAACCGCGTTGAGTTTCAGATACGAATCCTGAAATAATGAAATAACCACATAAAATTTTCCCCCAGCTTACATGTCTACTGTATTGCTTAGATTCTTGTCCTTGCTCCACAGATGCTGACATTTCACTGCATTTGAGGGATCAGGAGCATTCCTAGTATTATGGCTTGAGGTCCCAGGTGCGCAAGATTGTTCTTGCATACCAGAGAGGATGGATTCGCTTTATCCTCAGTTATTTCTGGCTGTTGCCATCTTGCCAGTCTTGGGGTACGGTCTAACTTCCATCTCCTGCCTACCCCTTTAGGCATACTGAGTTCTCTGGCAGACTCTGGAGTCCCTTCACACCTTTTAACCTGGCATGTCTCCCTTAGCAAGGTTTAGTTTTCTGGCAATCTCTTTAGACATGGAATTCTTGTCCCTTGATCCTAACGGGTCAGGAATATAATGGCTTAGGACCTTCCCTCTTGGTATTTCTTGCCAGCACCTGTTTGTGTTGGGTTCCCTCTAGGGACTTGACTTCACACCTCTTTGACCATGTCAGGTTGTGGGTCGTTTCTTCCCTACATGGAAATTTCTTGTTGTTCCACCTGTTATTGGTGGGTTCTGGTTGATCAGCTCCTCCCTTGCTCCAGGTTTCAGTGGGGAGTCATTCCCCTCTGGTTACCTTTTTTATCTTGATCTTAAGCAGCAGGTTGGTTTCCATGTGGCAGGTTCCATTATCTGTGGTAGGGAGCTGGGCCTGATCTTATATCCAGCTTGGACATTGGTCATTCCATTTGCTCTTGGGCTGCCGGAAGTCCCCATTTCTGTTTTGCTGGCATGTTAGTCATTTGTGCTGTAGCCCACCCTTCAGTTGGACTGCTTTTGAACGTCCTGACAGTATCTGAATTCCAGTGTGCCTCAGTGAATGTGAAAGAAAATGGGATTTTACTTGAAGTCCATTGAGGGACACAGTTCCCTCCGCTGTGTTTATTTCTGGCTCTTGTGACTGTTTGCTACAAACTGAGGCACTCTGGTTGAAGGATGGGTTATCGCAGGCTGGCCTACAATTTTGTTTGGTTTGCCAGTGTCTAATCCCTCTGTAGGTAGCGGTTAAATCCATCAGTATCTGAATTTCTGTGTCCCTCAATGGACGACAAGGAAAATAATTTTACGAGTGGCAGCATCCTATTTTTGTGTGTTATAATGAACATATAGTATATACCTTTTTTTGCAGATGTTATATGAGGCTTAACTGTGCACTAATCTTAGCAATATCTCATGCTAATACAGCCTAGTGAAAGCTGCAAGCACTACAGTGAGAAAATGTAAATATATATTAATATACTAAATGTGCCGCGCCAATTTAGTTGTGAACTGTTCAAGTAACAGGCGGCACGCAAGCAGAGCCTGGAAACACCTAGCTGGACAAGGCGGTGTAATTACCATTATTGTCACCTTCAGAGAATTTGTGTATTATTTACAGGGATGTGTATTGTTCACCTCTAGCGTCGCCTGTGATGTCTCCAGTAAACAGGTCTTTTCTCTTGCAGGTGACATGGGAGTGGGGAAATCCTGCTTGCTGCACCAGTTTACAGAGAAGAAATGTAAGTTTGTTTCTGTCCCTGATGTATCTGCTGTGGCTCTGCTCACTAATGCTGAGCACCAGAATTGCTCTCAATATGCAGCCACATTCAGAGCTGTTGTGTATGCAGCATTCGTAGTTGTGTTCTCATTTGTGTCCTGAACATAGTGCTAATACTCTATACCAAGGCAGGGAGCTGTATGTGGCAATCAGAAATCATCTTTTGGGTGCCTGTAGCATAGTGCAGGCTGATTTTAATTGTTGTGGGAGGCTAGTTTTATGATCTGTTAAATCCATACTGTAATGTTGTAACTTTGCTAGGAAACAAAAGTTAAACCTGACTGGATTTATTTATAAATGGAGTCATGTGAAGTATTGGGTTCTCGTTAAGCGATCTGCATTCTACACACAGTCCTGGCTTAGGTAACTGTAACTGAAGAAAATGATTAGCTTATTCTCCCCAACTACTGGATGGAGCAGGATGGATTGACTGCCTGGGAAGGATTCCTGGCTCATTTTGTACCCCACTTTTTCCTATTGTCACAGGACAGGCTAGCTGAAAAAGAAGTATGTGTAAGGGTGCTGATTTATATATGTTAGAATAGGGATATATGGGCAAATAAGCCTCTTTGTTACTGGGACGTTGAAATGTATGTTAACATTTGTCTCATTGGAATCACTTTACATTCTATGTCCTACAAATATGGTGAGTGCCAACAAGCAATTCATTTGCTAAGGTAGCCACAGCCTTAAACAGATCGGTGCTCTGTATGGATGCAGCGAGAAACAAGTGAAGTCTTTTGAGCACATTTCACACGGACGGCTGTCTGTGGGTGGAAGCAGTGGCAGAAATGAGAGTGGTTGGATGTAGTCAAGGCAAGTCAGTCAGCCAGTTTAACCTTCCTAATCTAAGAAGCCTTATTTTCCCCTTGCTGTCCCATCATTTGTTTGTCGAGTTCTGTATTCGTTTAGGATGCTTTGTGTTTCAGGGGCAGTCTGGAGTTTTCCAGTCTCTAATTCATTCTCTCTACAGTTATGGCAGATTGTCCTCATACAATTGGTGTTGAGTTTGGTACCCGGATAATTGAAGTTAGTGGGCAGAAGATTAAACTGCAGATTTGGGACACAGCAGGACAGGAACGCTTCCGAGCCGTCACTAGAAGCTACTACCGAGGGGCCGCGGGGGCGCTTATGGTCTATGATATAACAAGGTAAGGGGGTTTACCAAACAAACCTCATGGAGCATTTGTTTTTTTTTCTGTTCTACTGCTCTCGGATAAATGTATTCTTTTAGCTCTTAAACTTGGGATGGACTAACTCTGTAGTCCTTGGCATTAAAGGCATAGTCTAGTCAAAATTGCAACATTTACCCTTGAACTACTTATAGGGATCACAGCCTACCTGCTTAATGCTGTAGTTTACATTCAGCCACCACCCTTCTTTCTGAAACCTGGTGATCCTGGAAAACACCTGCAGGTTATGCTGAATTATCCTCCTTTCTAACTTTTTTTCTCTCATGTTAAAAAAAAAAAAACTGCCTCTGACATTTGAATATGATTGCTTATGCAAGAAGCATAGAGAGGCACAGGATTTAGGATATACAGGTGAAACTCGAATAATTAGAATATCGTGCAAAAGTAATTGCAGTAAGTGCTGCAAAAGGGGCCCAAACCAAGTACTGAGTACATATGCATGCTTGTACTTTTCAGAGGTCCGATATTGTTCTATGTACAATCCTTGTTTTATTGATTGCATGTAATATTCTCATTTTCTGAGATTGTGGATTTGGGGTTCTTGGGGTTTTCATGAGCTGTAAGCCATAATCATCACAATTATGACAAATCACGGCTTTAATTATCTTGCTTTGCATGTAATGAGTCTATCTCATATATTAGTTTCACCTTTTAAGTTGCATTAGTGAAATAAATGAACTTTGCACGATATTCTAATTATTCGAGTTTCACCTGTACATTCCTACTGATCCTGTATGCAGCTGTCTTTTTGTTTTCTTGTAAGTTACTCCTTCAGGAGATTTGACACTGGCAAACAGTGGACAGCCCAGTATAACCCTTCCAGCTCCCAGCTTGCTAGCAAACCATTTCTGATTGTTCTCTTTTACATTTTATCAAGATATTTTTCTGATAGTGGCACTCAGTCATTGCTTCTCTCCATCGGGTAGACCTTCTGACCTCTATGGGTGTCTGGGATAGCTACTTGCATGCCTCCATTTTCCCGACACTTCAATGCTACGTACCCTTGTGGTGGACACACATTTCCAAATATTACCCTTCCCTTTGTCATGTCCACTACACCCTGTGTCTTCACAAGCTCCTGTACTGCTTCTACTTTGATCTCAGGGCAAACCCATAATGGGATATCTGGCTGACCTTCTGAGGAGACGGTAAACTCAAGCTCTTTCAGCCAATGTCCAATGGATCGTGCAGACACTACAGAGCTTTAGGTGGATTCTAAATCTCCAAAAATCAGTGCTGGGATTGTCTCAACGCTTGGAGTATCTGGGCCTTTTGGACATGGCCCTGTGCAAGGTTTTCTTATTCTGGACAAACTCCAGTCTCTGCTTCCATGTTCGGACTCTGCAGTCTCTGAATAATCCTCTACTCCTGACAAGCAGGACCAGACTTACCCTGACATGGTGGGTTACAAGTGCGGTGCTGGAACTAGAGAAATCCTTACTCTCAACAGTTTGGAGGGTCCTCATGAAGGATGTCAGCCTGTTGACTGGGGAGGAATCCTAGATACCCTCTTGGTGTAACAGATTGGAAAGCAATTTGCTTTCCTTCATCCCCCGAACCTCTCCACGGTTATCCCACCAGGATAAAATTGGACATTGCCACGGTAGTGGCTTACATCAAGCACTAGGGAGGAACCAGAAGTCTTGCATCCCTAAGAGAAGCAGATCTCATGGCTTGGGCAGAGCTTCACATTCCACCCTGACTGCTAATCACATCCCAGTTGTGAATTGGCAGGCATGCTTCCTCATTGATCTTTGTCTGGACACCAGAGAATGGGTCTCTTCACCTAGGTTGCTGGTGGGGGACACCAGACCTGGACCTCCTGGCTTTCAGTCTTAACAACAAAACTGAGCAGGTTTGCCTCTGTCTCTAGGGTTTCACTAGGCTTTGCAGTGGATGCCCCGGTGACCTGTGAAATCGGTTCAACCTAATCTACACCCTCTCTGCAGCTTTTTCCTCATCTGCTCCACAGGATTGAGAAGCATGGCACATTAGGCCTTGGTACTCTCACCTCGTCTTGCCAGTCTTTTAGTGGGCCCTTCCAGATTGTTTTGATCTTGTGTCCCAAGGGTTAGCTTACCACCCTGCTTCTCAGATGCTGGCTTTGACCTCTTGAATGAGGGACGGGCCTATTTGATTCGGTTATCTATACCCTATTCAAAGCTAGGAAGTTGACTTTTTGCACGGTCTACCATTGCACTGGCAAAGTGTACATCTCCTGGTGTGAAACTAGGACATTCCATCCCTGCGATCTCTCTCGCTCTCTTTCTTTCTTCTCTCTCCTCTTTCTTTCTCTCTCTCTCTCTCTCTCTCTCTCTCTCTCTCTCTCTCTCTCTCCTCTTTTTCTTTCTCTCTCTCTTTCTCTCTCCCCTCTTTTTCTCTCTCTCTTTCTCTCTCTCCTCTTTCTCTCTCTCTCTCTCTCTCTCTCTCTCTCTCTCTCTCTCTCTCTCTCTCCTCTTTCTTTCTCTCTCCTCTCTTTTCTCTCCTTTTCTCTCTTTCTTTTTCTCTCTCTTTCTTTTTTTCTCTCTCTCTCTCTTTTCTCTCTCTTTCTCTCTCCTCTCTTTTCTCTCTCTTCTTTTTCTCTCTTCTTTTTCTCTCTTTCCTCTCCTCCTTTTCTCTTTCTTTTTCTCTCTCTTTCCTCTCCTCTCTTTTCTCTCCTTTTCTCTTTCTTTTTCTCTCTTTCTTTTTCTCTCCTTTTTCTCTCTCTTTCTTTTTCTCTCCTCTCTTTTCTCTTTCCTCTCCTTTTTCTCTCCTCTCTTTCTTTTTCTCTCTCTTTCCTCTCTTTTCTCTCCTTTTCTCTTTTTCTCTCTCTTTTTTTTTTTCTCTCTCTCTTTCTTTCTCGCTCTCTCATAATTTATTGTTAGATTTTAACCCGCAATAAAAGTTTTTTAAAAAAAGCATTTCCTTATATTGTAAAGCGCTGTGCAAACTATTGGCGCTATATAAATCCTGTATAATAATAATAATTTTTGAACTACTGCTGTTTGGGTTGTTCAGTTTAAATTCTGTAAGCCAGCAGTGATGAGGATGCCTGAGTGGGTTCCAGTTTCATATTTGTAGCTCCAGTTGGTGTTTGGAGAAAGGAAGTGATTTTTGCAGCTTGCTTATCAAATACATTCACCAAACCTGTTCCTGTTTCTCTTCCAGGCGAAGCACATACAACCATTTAAGCAGCTGGTTGACCGATGCACGGAACCTCACCAATCCTAACACAGTAAGTTGTATTTATCACTCATTTCATAAGTTATCTATAGCAGGAGACTTCATAAAATTATATCCTGGCCTGTCGGCTCCCCATCAAATGAAAATATTTCTTTGCTATGTAAAATTACAAAATGGTCCGTAAATTTAGATTTCAGCTAGTTGGTGGTTCTCCAATTTTTGCCAGGATGTTGGCAGGATTTGGTTGTTGATCACAGGTCTCTAGGTGGAGTTCTTTGTCAAGCCAGGTCACTGATGTCAGGTGGGGTTTAGACCTTAATCTCTCAGTGGAGCTGGATGTTAGCCTGGGTCTAGATAGGGTCTCACAGTGGTGTTGGATGTCAGGTCTGATTTTAGGCCGGATCTCCCAATGGATTAGAAGTTAGGTGTCCTGATATCAGTTCCTTCAGTAATGCTTTGTGTCTTCCACTATAAAGGTAATCATTCTAATAGGCAATAAGGCAGACCTGGAGGCCCAGCGTGATGTCACATATGAGGAGGCCAAGCAGTTTGCTGAGGAGAACGGTATGTGATGCATGCTTCATCTGTCTTTTTTAGATACTCATTTTGGCATTACAGATTTACTAATATGTCGGTCTTATTTGTCTTCTGTAGGTCTCCTGTTCCTGGAAGCGAGCGCAAAAACGTAAGTGACAAAAGGGGGAAATGTCATTTTTTCCCTGCACACATTTTTAGCAGTAGAACAGAGCAGCTACCATTTCCCCACGTGACTCTTCGACCTATGTGGGCCCCCACCAGCATGAATGGTGAAACCATTGGCTATCTACGACAGCTGCGGTCCAGCGCTTAGGCCAGGAGCTGAAAGGTCCAGCTCCTGCACTTCCAATGCCTCTGCAGCTCGCTCAATAGGTGCACACTGTAGAAGCCAATGTAAACAGAATGCTGCTGCAGCTGTTATATGGCTGTGGTGCTGAGGTCATCCCATATGGAAGGCACCAGACTGTCTGCTGCAACACTCATTTCTTTAAATCAAGGGGATTATGTTTTATCTCTAATAGGATCTAAATATTAGTTGTAGGCAGATGAAACTTATCCCTTCTGATAGTATGTATTATGAGCTGCGTGCAGATACAAAATTGTATGTTTCAGTTGCACAGAACCCTCTAGGTACCAACAAAATGGTTATATGGGGCCTGCTTGCAGCATTCTTGTGGTGTGACACAGCGTTAGGGGGATATTGGTGTTCTCCCACCAACAGGATAACACAGAACTGCCAAACGGTAACGGTTTTGTCTTTTTCCCCCTTTTTTATTTTCATAGCGATTGGCCAAAGTTTTGTGTACATATTTTTTATGTTCCCGCTTAGTTATTAAATGGCTATTGTGCACTAGGCTTCTATATTGTAAAGCGCTGCGCAAACTGTTGGCGCTATATAAATCCTATAGGCTAAGAATTCACACTCCTAGAGAGATTGCTGCATTATGTTAGCAGTGTCTGTATGCTGAGTTGTAAGCTTGCTTTTAATCTGCATGAAATTGCTTCACTGATAATTGCATGTATATTAGTGTCAGCATGTGGAATCTATCGTGTGTGTAATGCAGGTGGTGGCAATGTCATGTGTCTGAAAAGTGTTCATGCAAGGATTCTAGCTTGCGGGCTATCAAGGAATTGTAGAAATTGTGTGTTTGGTGCTCCCTTTACTGCTGCACAACCCTTACGGCAGGTTCACACCATTTTCTGGAACGCAATGCATTTTTACCGTGACTCTAAACTGCATCATGTGTCTGCAGTAGAGATTTCATAGGCTTGTTGTCCTCAATATGGAGATTCATTGATAATGAGCAAAATAATTTGTCCAAAAGCATAATAGTTCAATCTGACCCAGCTAATAAGAAAACAAAAGTACTAATTTTAGCCTTTTAATAGGTCGCTGGCCTTAGTGGGTGTGTCCATGAAATGTTTTTCTGCACCAGCAGTATTGCTTCTGTAACCTGTCTGTTGGGATGCACCAATACCTGTTTTTCGGTTAAGAGTAGCGATATTTTTTTGGTACTCACCGATACCGGAAGTCCCATTAAGGAAGCCAGGCAGCGTGTAATGACTTGCCACCTGGCTTCCTTATACCGGAAGTTCCAGTATCGGGAGCATTTGGACGAGTACTCGGCCTCGGTGCATCCCTACTTATCTGTGTTTATAGAACACCATAGAGCCACGTGAATAGTCACTTTAGTACAGGACAGATATGTGATTGGATTGTATATGATGCTGCTCAGTAGTTTCTACCACTGATGGCATTTTTTTTTTCCTTCTGCAGAGGAGAGAACGTGGAAGATGCCTTTCTGGAAGCCGCCAAGAAAATTTACCAAAACATCCAAGATGGAAGCCTAGACCTGAATGCCGCAGAGTCTGGCGTACAGCATAAACCATCAGCACCTCAAGGAGGTCGCCTAACCAGCGAACCCCAACCGCAGAGAGAAGGTTGTGGCTGCTAGTGACCTGTCCGTGACGGCCGCCGTCTTTCTGCCCTTCCCTCCTCGTCTGTCTCGAGCAGTATTTTTTCTTTTTTTTTTTTGCTGCCCCATACATTGTACTGGTTTCATGAAAAGGTGGGGGGACTCCGCTGAGGCGACAGTTTAACACAATACTAAACTGCTACATAACTAGATGTATCCAGGTTATCAAAGGCAAGTCAAGTAATAAACACACACAAACCAATCTTTCCTGCATGGTATAAATATAGAACTTTTTATTTCTCTCCTTAATCGTCTTTGTGATGTTGGCAATCCAGAGTTTCTGTAGAAGCGCTGGAGCTGGATTCATCCAGGTCTGTCTTAGTTTCCATTTTTCTAGAATAGTCTCATTTGCTGTGAATGTCCAATAAGGGGGACTCTCTACCCGTCTTTTGTTTCAACTGTTCTTTTTGCCCATCTGGAAGAAAGAGGGTTTCTACACTGAATTCCGTCTTAATTTTACAAGCAAATTAATCTGGTGTTTGTTTTCCTCTGTCGTATCCCATAAGCTTCCCCTCGTGTTTTTTTCTAAATTTTACTCCTCACATTTAACGCGTAAATATAGAGAAATAAAAAAAAAGAATAATAATAAAAGACAAAAAAAAGGAACATTGAGATACATTCTGTGTACAAAACCTTAATGAATCCTGGTATTAGTGTGCCAGGAAATATCAGTTTGTACAGTACGTGACCACATCACTCCCTTCCTCCCTGCGTAGTGCAGTAGATGTAAATTGTAGAGAATGCTTGGCTCCGCCCTCTTTTTTGAACCTTTTTTTTTGCACTGTGGCTTATAAAAAGCGGTTTTAGAAAATCCCATTGTGGAATGAGCAGTGTGCTGACTTTTTTTTTTCTCTCCCAGTCGATCTTTGCGTATAACAGCTGTGTATTGCCTGCCTTACGATGTATAGAGATTTAATGAGAAGGCTGGTTTAACTATTGCACATATTATTATGCTTTATTTTCTTTTAACATTTTTGGAGTCTACATTACGGTTCTGCTGCTTTTTAGAATTAACTTTTTTTGTGCATTTTTAAACACTACAGTGGGATGGTTTTTTAAAAACGTAAAAAAAAAATGTATTTTATTTCTGACGTGGGACATAATCAGCGGTCAGCACCTTATACAATAGCTTGTCAATGTTCTGACCATTTGCCATGTATAATAGATCCATCATAGTGTAAAGACAGCCGCCATCACGTCTTCATGCGCACAGAGGTGAGCATGCTTATCTACAGGCATGATTCCTCACTAGAGGCAAGCGGAGTGGCAAAAACCGGAATGATGTCATGTCCTTTATTCCCTAGAATAATCTGAAACTTAAAATTGACAAATTTTTGTTTTCTTCCTTCTGCCTTTCTCTTGAGGCGTTCACCTTTAGTTGGCGGGTTTGCCATCACTGTGCAGGGACCACAAATTACTCACTGGGAATGTTGACACAGAACGCGCGCCCCTTCTCCTCCCCCCCCCGTCTCCTTCGGTTACAGTAGGTCATCCGCTCGTTTCTGTGACTAAAGGAACAACCTGGACTGCTGTACTTTTCCCTCGATGTAACAAAATGCTATTAATCTAAATATTTGTAAATAAAGTACCTGTATCTAGATAATTTACACATGGCTTTATTTCATTTTCTTGCAGTCATTTGTCTAGTGCCACATAGATGGAAGATAAAATCTGAGGGGTTGCTGAGTTATCATTATTGCGCCAAATTAACCAGTTGTTTTCGTTGTTTGATCAGCCTTGCAAAATGACAGCTGGCTTACTACCATATTAGTTCCAGAGATCCCCACCACATTCCTTGCTGGTATGCCCCTTTTTGAGGTGGGTGCTGCAGTAATAGTGGACGGCGCCACTTCAAATCCCAGTAGTAAAATATATCACCAGCACACTGTAGCAACATTTCGGGGACCTTGAGTGGCCACAAAACGTTGCTTTGCGACGACGTGTGTACATCAATAAAATTACCACTTGTTGAAGATTTTACTTTGGTGTGCTGGTGATCCATTTCATTACTACCATATTCACCAAATTCTCTTCAATGCCTGGTTAAGAAGGTCCATTCTTATGGATTTAGAGGAAATCTGTGCTGTTGCTCATAGCAACTAGAATAAAGAAGAGCTCCTAGCAAATGAAAAATTCACATGTATATAATTTTTTACCTGTGGAAGTATTTGTAATTTTGACCCGTGCGTGCACGTGAATATAGGAGTTTTAGTAAAGATTGTCACCAGCACACAAAGGATTTAAAGCAATTTTTAAAAGGACCTTTGCTTCAAATCCTTTTGGTGTGCTGGTGACAATCTTTCTTTACTATATCTGCATTGTGCACGGGGCCGTCCGTGGTCACTATGAGCACCCACCTGCTTCGCAGGTTTACCACTATTCAGTAAGGTGGTTTCCTACTACATGAATATAGGAGTGACACAGGAAGACAATCTTGTTCTTATACTGCTGCCTACAGGAGGACAGGACATTGTCTACCAAAAAAAAAAAGGTGGTCAGCCCAAGAGAACCCCTCCTACTCTAAGCATGGCTCTGGTTTTTGTTTCATGTCCTAGGAGGATGGATGTCTTCAGCTCTGCTGAGAAGTCCCTTTTTTTTCTTTAATGTAAATTGCTGCTACTTTGTCACCTGGACCCCACTGGCCTGAACATTGCAGGGATAGTCAAGGATGTAACCATGTCCTGTTTCGCTGGAATGTAAGGAGACTGAGGTGTTTCACTGGAATGTAAGGGGACTGAGGTGTTTCACTGGAATGTAAGGGGACTGAGGTGTTTCACTGGAATGTAAGGGGACTGAGGTGTTTCACTGGAATGTAAGGGGACTGAGGTGTTTCACTGGAATGTAAGGGGACTGAGGTGTTTCACTGGAATGTAAGGGGACTGAGGTGTTTCACTGGAATGTAAGGGGACTGAGGTGTTTCACTGGAATGTAAGGGGACTGAGGTGTTTCACTGGAATGTAAGGGGACTGAGGTGTTTCACTGGAATGTAAGGGGACTGAGGTGTTTCACTGGAATGTAAGGGGACTGAGGTGTTTCACTGGAATGTAAGGGGACTGAGGTGTTTCACTGGAATGTAAGGGGACTGAGGTGTTTCACTGGAATGTAAGGGGACTGAGGTGTTTCACTGGAATGTAAGGGGACTGAGGTGTTTCACTGGAATGTAAGGGGACTGAGGTGTTTCACTGGAATGTAAGGGGACTGAGGTGTTTCACTGGAATGTAAGGGGACTGAGGTGTTTCACTGGAATGTAAGGGGACTGAGGTGTTTCACTGGAATGTAAGGGGACTGAGGTGTTTCACTGGAATGTAAGGGGACTGAGGTGTTTCACTGGAATGTAAGGGGACTGAGGTGTTTCACTGGAATGTAAGGGGACTGAGGTGTTTCACTGGAATGTAAGGGGACTGAGGTGTTTCACTGGAATGTAAGGGGACTGAGGTGTTTCACTGGAATGTAAGGGGACTGAGGTGTTTCACTGGAATGTAAGGGGACTGAGGTGTTTCACTGGAATGTAAGGGGACTGAGGTGTTTCACTGGAATGTAAGGGGACTGAGGTGTTTATCGTAATCAACTCGGTCTGTACTGTGCTGCCAGATCATCAGTTGTAAACTACATTCGAACAGTCTTTCCTAAGAAAGTTAAAGGTTTATAAGCATTGTTTGTTTGTTTAATAAGAAGCTCAGCGTGTCCTTTGGCTGTCCCCATAGAAAGTCTGAGTTTCCTGTCACTTTGTCATTGTACAGAGAAGCTTGTAGTCCAAAGCCTACTGCACAGAAACATTTAAAAGGTATGGCATTGTTTAAAAATGTCTCCTTTAGGTATGCGATGTGAATAGGCAAAAAACAGATAGATGTGTATTCTACTTTTGCAGTTAAATCTGAGAATCTACAGCCACTAAACAATTAGGAGCTCCAGAAAGGGTCCTTTTCTCCCTGGCAGGTCCTGCAACACAAGTGGTCTTAGCTGTGACCTTGCTCTGCCCAACGTTTGGAACGCATGCCTCCAGCTTTAAGTTACAAAATGGACAGGTTGTTTCCTTTTTAGTCTCAGGGAACAGAAGGAGGATTCTTGGGTAAATGCACTTTCTCCACGTGACATTTAAAAGGGGCAGATCTTGTTTGGGGCTGCCCTGGATGCCCTCATCAAGATGCCACTGGTGGCAAGAGTACTTGCAAAAACAAAAAAGCCAAAAGTTCAGATGTGCCCTTTGACAGAGGCTAAGAAAAGTCCCTTTTCTTAGCGGTAGACCTAGAAGGTGAATTACTTTGTCACTTAATAGACTCTTAAAGATCCAATGCCCAAATCGGATATCAGATGAAGCCAAGCTCTATCAGAGAAGGCAGATCTGCCTAAACAACCAGACCAACTGGGTTTCAGTATTCACCCTCCTTGGCATTTTTCCTATTTTGTTGCATTACCACCTTGAATTAAAATGGATTTTTATTTGGATTACATGTAAAGTGTATACACAAAATGGTGAAGTGAAATCAAGAAAATGTTTTAAAAAAACAAAACCCAAACAAACAGAAAAGAGGTGCACATATACACACATTATACATATCACAATTAGGGATCTGAAACTTTGAACATCCCACGGAGCACCATTAAATCCATGATTAAAATAATGGAAAGAATATGGCACCTCAACAAACTTGGCAAGACAGGGCTGCCCACCACAACTCAGACCAGGCAAGGAGGGCATTACTCAGAGAGGCAACAAAGGTAAGGCAGCTGCAAAGCCCCACAGCAGAAATTGGAGCTTCTGTCCATAGGACCACTCTAAGCTGTACACTCCACAGAGCTGGCCTTCATGGAACAGTGGCCAGAAAAAAAAAAGACATTGCTTACAAAAAAAATAGGCAAACATGCTTGCTGTTTGCCAAAAGGCATGTGGGAGACATGATGCGGCATTATCCGGTCCAGTGAAACAGATCTCTGATCGGTCTGTTTCTCTGGACCCAGCTGGAGTCGGGGGGTAATCAGGCGTAAACGAACGTCCATTTACACACAGCTGCTCATAGACTTGCATTGGGCATCCGATCGGGTCCACCTGAAAAACTGACAAGTGCACCTGATTAGGCCCCTTTCATACGGCTGGTCCAAAGATCAGAGTGTAAATGGTGGCCAGCAGAGGAATTTACTGCCTTTTAGATGTTTATAGAGAATGAGATACATTATTCCAACATAACATGGCAAACTGTACAATGTTTTATTTGCAGAAAGATATAAAACAAACAATCTGTACATTCAGTCTCGATGTAGAAAAATATTCATTTGTGAAAATAAAAACATACATACAAACTAAATTCTTATATACAGATTAGTGCATATGGAATGAGGTTCCAGATACAATAAGGTCGTGACCTGGAAGTAGCTGCTACAATCAGTCATTTGATCAGGCTGGATATCCGATGGTGGAGGAGGCAGCAAGCTAAGCGATTGGCTGCCTTGGTGTCCAGTGTCTGTAGAGCGTCACAGCACTCTCCTGAAATACAAACAATCTGAGAAAACCTAGATATAGACAACCTGCGTGTATGATATTTCTGACCACTTCCTGGTGCTAGAGAGACTATACAAAAAAAAACAAAACAGAAATCTGTAGTAAAGGAAAACCTGCAGTGAGATTCCCATTCCTAGCCGCCTCCTCCAATCACTGACCAAGGAAGTCAGACTAAGGTCCTTATCTGCAGACGTGTTTGAGATCAGTGATTTGAGAGCAATAAAGCCAGTGGGTCACAATGAGACTTTAAAGAAAACCTTGAAGAGTGCCATTGCTAAAGGATATCTGAACTGAGCAACAAAAATATAAAAATGAAAGCTTACCAACTCCTAGATGTGATGGCTGCACTAGCTTTCTTCTTTCATACTAACCACCACTATTAGCAAATACAGAAAATACCTGCTGATCCTGCCAGAAATGCAGTGTGCTTGTAACTTCCTGTGACTATAACTAAAAATCACAAACCACGCTATCTTCTGTAAACTAAATTCCTTGTCCCTTATGTAGAGGAGGTGAAAAGAGAAAGACATGTTTTTACAGGAGCAGTCTGGGGTGGTAACCATTGCTCCCTCCATAGATACAGTGGAGTAGGCATAGCCACCCCAAGACAGGAAGTGTGTTTCTGGCACAATCACTAGGTGAGAACGAATTCAGCCAGCACAGCTAAGGACTAGCGTGTTGCAATAAATGATCAGTCTTGGGTTTACATATGCTTTATTGCTGAAAGGGAATCTTTACAAAAAGCACTTGTGTTATTAGGCTGTGATGAAAGCGGCCTTCCAACCCTTCTGATTTATGTATCATATACTAGTCCTGAGACACTGAAACTGGGTCACTGCCCTGGCACAAGTATGCCAGACATGGGTGAAAGAATGGATATTTCTATTCAAGCCAAATGCCACAGGTGCCTACCTTTGTGCCACATTACTTGAAATCCAGGCTGTGGCACCAGCAGTCATTCTGGCCAGTTAGTAAATAGTGAGAAAAGAAAGTGGGGAAAAAAAGAAAAGTTGTTGCCCATAGTAACCAAAGGTTTCATCTTTTCTCTATGAAAAATGTGGGTGATAATTCGGTGTACATAAACAGCCCCTAGTGTGTGATGGCCATTTAAAGCGATACGACACAGGGTGAAATGTGAATCATGTGACCCAGTGCACTCCTTACAGCATCTCAAGCTCGATTCCATAGGTGCTGTAGTAACACTTCAATGGATGGCATAATTATCAAGTAGATTGTTAAAGTAGCTGAGCAACACCAGCAGACCGACATTAGCAAACAGACTTTTACTGTCACAAAATCATAATGCAATGCTTCAGAGAAACAAGTGAACCCTTCCTCAAGGCAACAGCCCCAAAATGTCGTATTATGATTTTGTGTGGGAAAAAAAAGTCCCTGTTTCCCAACGGTGTGCTTATGACGATCTGCTATTTATACAAATGGCAAAGGGTGACTTACCTATTTATCTAAATGACAGGCTGTTGCCAAGTATCCGGTACTGAACAGTGACTGTGTTCCTGCCAACCTAGTCACAGGGATGGGGCTGGTGCTGGCTCTAAAGTTCTGCAATATAAGAAATTGTGACAAACCGTGAATATCAGAAGAGAGGATGAACACCGAGCTTAGGCTGTGTGCTGGGATTGTCAGCATGACACAATGGATCAAACTGGCCTTCTGCACATGGGGTCAAACATGAACCACCAGCAGGGCTCATCAGTATGGAAAGTGAAAACAATAGCACTCCTTGCAGGGTCCAAGAGAGCATGCAAGGCAAATCTGAGCACAAATGTCACCAAATTATGTTTACAGACTCCATGACACTGATTTACAAAACCTGGAAGATGCACTTAAAGATAACTTTCCCAGAGAGGCTGCTAGTGCCAACTTCTAATTTTGGAAAGGCTGATGTCAGCTTCCTGGTTGTAATGCTGAACCTCTGATTTCAATGACCTGGAACAATTATACAGATCAGTATTTCAAACTCCTGAAGTATTAGAAGGCTGCAACTGTCTGCTATGGACACTTCACTCAGATCAGAGACTGCAGGAAAGTATCTGTCACCCCTAAACTGCAGCGTGGGATGGATCTGATAGGTTACTTTCCTCTAATGTTACTTTTATGTCCAAGTTGTACATCATAGACAAAGATTAAACTCTTGCTAAACTTACCAGGCTGCGCGTCTCTTCACTCAGAAACGGTGTTGCACTAGAGGAATTCTGGGAATGGAACGAAGAATCCGCTGATATATTACTGACCAGTTCATCTAGAGCATTGACCTGTCTCCTCAGACTGAACAGAGATCCCTCCGTCTGCTGTCGGCCTCTGCTCAGCACATCTGCCTGCTTACACATCTGCTGGTGGAGCTGGGCCTGGGAATGTACACAGAATGTAAAATGAAGGCACAGGTAACATATAGACAAATGCATAGGTTGCCTATGACCCCACAGGTATCAAAGCATCTGTAAAGCCATGCTGAGAATTAGGGTTCATGTCCAATTTGTCTATAAATTTCACATCCGTGATAATGTCCAGCAGAGCTTGGACTAATCAGAGATTAGATTACTGCAGTCAGCTAGGTCTTGATTTCTGATGAGTTGCTGTGGGCTACGGCACTTTAATGAATAGGAAGATTGTGTGTTATAAAATATGCTCACCTTCAGCCGATCTTCCTGTTGTCTGAGCTTTTCCCTTAGTGCCTCCCCACGCCAATGTTCCTCCTGTTGGAAAGACAACAATCTTTACCGTCATCTCCATAGGTGATTATAATATTTAGATATATGTTCAGAAAATGCCTTTACTTGCACTGGGAAGAGAACATTGAGTTCCCCCTGGCACTGACATCTTACTATGCCATGCAGGTTGCACACCAAAGAGCTCACCGAGGGACTGGTAAGAGATTTACAGCTCTGAGCTAATGAACTGCCAGTAAGGAGCAAAGAGCTGTACATGGTATTTATCTGACATAAGCTCTGATGATATTGATTGCTCGAGAAGAATTGTTACAACATACAGAACATGCACACAGTAGAATGAATCCATTACGCATCAACAAAGCATCACAAGCAAAACATTTGTGCTGCTATAGATGCTTGGTGATGGGTATAAAAATCAGGGAAATTATTAAGCTTTTATGTCACATCACTTTGTTCTACTTTGTTTCTGTCATAAAAGTTTAAAATGAAGGGTTGGAAGATGCAAAATAATAATAATAAAATAAGAAGGTGACTCTTTAAGGTGGCATTTATTTTTTAGTCAAAAAATGTGTGAGTGGAAAAATAGAAGGTCAAGGATATGGCAACTACGTAAATTGGACACCTTAAAAACAGTTCCAGCCAAGGGTGTAACAGCTGGGAAGAGCCATAAGAATCTTGTGGATTGACAAGGAAAGAAGACAAACGTGGAAAGAAAACCCCAACACAGCAGACCAGGCTCAGGCCATCAGCAAATGGTACTGAAATATGGATCCAAGCTTCCTCACAAGGCACCTTACACTCAATAGTAAGGCGAGGGGGTTGGAGGGCGAAGTGTCTGCTCGGTTGATATTTGTGTAACAGAACAGGTTTCAACTGACTCACCGTTAACTGACTCTGGCTGCTCCCAAGTTTGCCTGCCAGTGGCGGTTCTGATGTAGAGTTTGCAGTGAAAGGGAAATTCTCCTTCAGACTCTCCAGCTCAGAGCGGACACTTTGATTGTGTTCCAATATGGCCTCTGCATCCTCCTCGAGGTCATCTTTCGCAGAGCACTGTAGGTCCTGCAGAGTACTTTGAATTTCCCGCTTCACCTGAGCTTTTAACTCTTTCACAGCCTCATTCACTTCTTGCTGCCTCTTGTCCAGCTCCTCCTGACTCTTCAGCTAAAGGGTGAATAACATTTTTAATTGATTGTTTAGGGACAGCAAAAAAATACCACAGATGCTTTCTAAGTGCTGACAGGATTTTTAGGTCATTCTCTTAATAAATGCTTCTACCTGACTTTCTGCACTTTTTTTTTTAGCATGTGTGGCTTAGTGTACAGTCTCGGCACGATTCTGTGTTGAAAAATGTGTGAAGGATTTAAACACCAATGACAAATAATTGGAACAGGGAATGTATACGGTTTCTAGAAACTGGTAGAGGGGAAGGTAGATTGCTAACTAGAATGTCTACAAAGCCTACAGTGGGTAATTCCCTCACCGGTGAAAGCCATCAAGTCAAAGGGATGCAGTACCAACTGGACAATTTTGCATCTACTAAGAAATTGATACAGAATTGAAGAATCAAAAGATTTGGCTAAAAGAATGAAGAGAAAAGGGATAGTCTCAAATCCATTTGAGAAAGCCTGTGCAGTAGAATGGAGTGAATCACTAAGAGACAAAAAAGGCAACCAGGATGCCAGATGTAGGTGTATTACTCCTTAAGTTTACAATAGAAGGGAATTAAGAGATCCTAGAGACACTGGCATGTGTTACGATTGGATCGCGTGTTAGAGAAAATTGTGGGTTCTACCTTTAACAGCAAAGAGAAAAAGAAACTCATGAGATATGTTAGTGAGGAGTGAGTTTCAGTCTTCAAGCACAGTGCACTCTCCAGCAGGAGCAGCAACGGCTGAGCTCAGCACCGTCAAAGTCCTGGCCCATCCTGCTGTTTAGCATGGGGTAGTCAACCACCTCGAGGTTTTTGCAGACAGGCCATGCCGAGGGCTGTAGCTAAAAGGCAGCTGTTTTAATATCTGAATAGCCCTTTGCAATGTGCTGAGAATGATGAAAAACATGGGGGCGTTTTGTAAAATGTGCAGAAAGGTGAAGATAGTGATGGAGCCACCTCAGCAGCGAACAGTTCCAAATCCAAAAAAAAAGTAAAAATAGAATTCTAGCGTGCAATCCTACTGAGTAAATAGGAAAGCCCAGTTACAAAAGGAGAGATTTTAACCCCTGCTGTCATACTGCCCTGCAGATACAATATCTTCTTTAGGAAATGCCTACTTTTATTGTAAAACCTTGTGATGGAAAGCTAGCATTCTGAATTAGGTTGCCCTGGGCAACACAGGCTTCCTTCTGTAGATACTTTTTTAGAAATAGTATAATTATCAGAATATCAGAACAGTTATTGCTCTACCTGTTTCCGAAGTATGGCATGCTCTGCCTGTAACTGTTTCAGTTCTTTGAGTAGACGTTTGGCTCTTTCATGGTTGTCATAAGCAGCTTGTTCTGCAGCCAGAAGCTGTTTCTTCAGACTGCTGGATTCCAGTTTCTGTTCCTACAATAATAACAGGAATAGGGTTATAAAGAACTCTAGAAATATTATTTGCTGGAAAACAACTTGGCCAAACTGTTCTAAAAGTGCACCTGTGTCGAGATATATGCTGGCTGCCGGTGCTGGGCTTCTAGATACAATGCTAGTTGTGCGTCTGTCTCTGGCTTGTGTATTTGTGAGTCTCTAACCTGCAATAAGCAAAACGCATCCAAGTTTGAAGTCCTCATCTATATACCTGGTGCAGGTGAGTGAAGTATTGAAGCCAGGCAGCTTGTATTTTCAGGCAGAGGTTAGCATTGGCAGCCTACTTCACAAATTCGTTCATGGCAGGTTTTTTAAGACCGGTTGAATGGCATAAATGATTGGCTCATGTACATTTTACAATAATAATAGACTTATACAATGATCATCACTGATCAAATAGGATTGCAAAATCATTTCCCTGGAGTCCAATAAGGGACAGAGAAATTCATAGACTGTTGGGTTATACTGCAGCCTACATGAGATATTGACACTGGTATATATATATTTATTTTGTGAGAAATTTTTAAAAAACTTTTTATTACACTTAACTTTAATGTTATCACATAGTGTGAAAATAAGTACCCTATGTAATAACAAATTACAGTTACAGGTCCCCTTTATGGAGACATCAGGGGTCTCCAAGACCCCTAATGTCACCTAGGGACCCCCAGAGAAGCTGATAAGCACAAATCTGCTTCATCAGCTTCTCTCCGGTACAGTTTCTGTACCGGAGAGTGACAGAGGAATGCGGAAGTGATGTAATATACATCAGTTCCTGCATTCACAGACCGGGAGGAGAGCGGAGGGAGATCGGGTACTGAACTCCCTCCGTTCTCAGTACACAGAGCCACATCGCCCGGGATGGATGGACGACCGAGATCGTGGCGGGGACAGCGACCAGAGGTAAGGAAGGGGGGGGGGCGCACCTTCACTTCCATCATACAAGCGATCGGGCGTCTTCACAGGCCGTTTAAAATCCAGGCGCTTTCCCGCTTGTGCGCACTAGGGGGCACGCGCGAGCAGGCACGACGCCCACCCGCATCCAGAAGACTCCCGTCTGGCCGATCGGCGGACGGGAAGGGGTTAAGTGAACTTCAAAAAAAAGGATTTTGCGGTGAGTACAAAAATCCATTTTTTTTCTTGAAAAGAAAGGCCAGCAAACCCAAGGAAAAAAAATATCAGATAAACTGGCGAGTGCCTGAAGCTCAAGGAGCTGCCTGAAGGATGCAACGCCCAAAAGCAAAATACATTGGGGGGAATTTATCATAGCAATTGCGAGTGTTTGAACTTGCACGGAATATATTTCCTCCACATTTATGATGCTAGTGTAATGTTGTTGATAAATGAGGTTTAACAGACTCCAGGAAAGACGACTTTTAACTTCAGGCAAAAAGCTTAACTGTTGCTTCTTGAAGAAGTGGGGACTTAAGTTGTGATTGTTTTCTTAGGTGATGGTCCAGTATCATACAGCCCCAGAACAAGTGCAGATGAAAACAGGTGCAAAAAAACGTGCAGTTGGAAAAGTAGTGCAAGCTCAGCTGAAAACAGGGGCACATGTTAAAAGACAGATTTGCACATGAAAAAGAAATGATGTAAGAGGCTAAAACTGTCGCATTTGCTTTGATAAATTCCCCCTACAGTGCTTCAGCAGCCATGCTGTTAAATAGAGCAACTGTAAAGTAGGATGGCAGAATGGTTCTTTGGAGCAGAAGATACTGACAACTCAACAGAGCCCACGGATTAACAAATAATATATGTTTAGAATTGAAGATGGTTAAATGAAGTTGGATAAGCTGGGGAGTACAACAGTGATGACTTCCTGTACAGTAACCCATAGAAGAAGAATACCTCCAAGTGTCAATTGTCAGCTAGCACAGGATAGGGTGCACAGCGAGTTACATTAAAATGCCATACAGATATGAGAACATTTTAACTATATATATTCATAAATGTTATAACAGTCAGAATATGATAGATCCATACTACCAAAAAGAATACAATACCTCAGCCGACTGCTCGAACTGCAAGCGCTGGTTTGTAATGGCTTCTTTCAACATCAATATTCTATTCTCATCATTCTTCTTCTCAGACAACAGCTGTTTTCTCAAGCTGCTCAATTCCTTCCTGTAAATCTCGGCCTCTTTCTGCAGTGACAAAATCTCATTGGTTTTATCTCGTAACTGCTCGTCGTGCTCCGACAGGAGATGGCCTGGAAATACAAAGAGTTGTCTCATTATCGGTTTTCAGAGAGTGCCTAGATTAGCCCACACACTGTCCTTACTACGGACTAGGGATGAACTTGGGTTTAGCCAAAGGGGTGAGATACTGGTGATGTCATTACACTACGCTGGGAAACTTACGTGCAGTGGCCAAAGACTCTTCTAGATCTCCACACCATCTCTTCTCTTCCTGCATCTTTCGAGTGTGCTCCTCTAGTGCAAGGACTTTGGCATTTATTCTATCTAGAGCATTCTGTTGGTTTAATATCTCCTGCTCATAAGTATGCCTCTGGTCTTCCAGCCTAGCTGCCGAAGCCCTGAGCTTTTCCTCTTGGTGCTCAATATCCTTCATAATTTGTTTTAAATGCTGGAAGAAAAGACAATTTGCTGTAGATAATTTCAGGTGCCGTGTGACAAACATCTTTAAGAAAAAGCTAATTTTTTAGATTTGCGGAGGAGACGATGTGTAAATACCTTCTGCTCTACGGTAATGTTGTATTTCAGTATCTTAAATAAGGCTTTTTGGTTCCTTTTGGCACTGGAGCTCTTCTCCATGGAAGTCTAGGTATAGAGATCTCGCACTGATGAATGCTAACAAGCTCTATATTTAAGCTGTATCTCCGCTACACACCAGTGGTTCAACATAAACAGTTGGATAAATGGCTTTACATTTACGTTATACCTGTGCTATGAAACCAGCTGCTCTAGATGGACAGTTGGATACATTGATCTGTGTTTATGATAAAGATAGGCTGTAAACCAGCAGCTCTTGAGGGACAGTTGGATAAATGGATGTAATTTTACTATGCGTTTAGTTCAGTGGGTTCAGATGGACAGTTAAATAAATGACTGTATTTTTAGACTTTATCTGGGCTATAGACCAGCAGCTCTGGCTGGACAGTTAGATCGCTTAAATCACCAATGTTCAGTCAGGAATTGTTGCAATAATTAAGAATGAATATTATTTGCAGTCTATCTAAAGCTAAAAAAACAAAAATGTAATAAACTGTAACTCACCAATCCTTAAAGTAGTATTAAACGCTCAAACTTTTTATCAATAATGAATCCAGATCAAACAAATATGCATTGCCCAGCAAAGCATTGCTTTACCTTTCTGCCCAAACACTTACAATCATCATGTTTCTGAACAGCTGCTTCAAAGTCTCTCAGCTCAGCTTCCCTGAACTTCCGTTCTAGTAACTCCAGCAACTGTTCATTCTCCAAGCTAGTAAATGGAGTAAAAGGAGAGGGGGCCAGGGTGGAGGGAAGTAGCTTGATTTGTTGTGTCTGTGTGTTTGTGGAGACGCACACAGCTTACTAGCACACACAAGGGTGACTGCATAGCACTCTGCTTAAGAAAGGAGGAAATCTAAAGCAGGATATCAGGACCAATGCTCAAGGGACCAGCTGATTCTACAAGAAACTAAAACTTGTAAACGCCAGGAGCAGCATCCATTGTAAATGATTTCATCAGCATTTGAAATAGGTTTAAATCCTTTTTGACTTTAACATAGGGATGCACCAATACCAGTATCAGTGCCGATACGGGGCATTTTCACAAGTACTCGTAAAAATGCCCCGATACTGGCGCTTTAAATTTATAAACACAAGTGGCTGCCGTAAAGTCCTGCGCTTGCTGGCCACACATCAATTCCTCCTCCTCCTGTCTGTGGATCCCCGCCAACCACCTCCAGACCCCTGGTGAGATGCCACATAGCCCTCCTAACACCCCGCACAGCCCAACCGAGAGCCTGGAGACATCAAGCTGCCCCATCACAGACATTCCTCCTAATTAAACCCAGCACTCGCATCTCGTCCCAGGGTGATTGAGCCTGGCCAACATGTTCAATACAGTGGTGTATCAAAATATCTGTATCAGCATAGAACCATCTTACCCAGCAGTCGGATACTTTGTAACAGGCGTGTGGTAGGAGTGGAGGGCGGGGCCAGACAGGTAACAAGCAGGGCCCTCCTGCTTGTTATCTGCACCACCACTACCGCACCCGCAGTCTGTTGTAAGCGATGTTTGAAGTATGCAAGATATATTTAGGATGTATGCTTATGTGTTGGATGAAATTTTTTTGGCTAATGTTATTTAACATACTTCAATCTTATGCTAAGTAGGTTTTTATTGTGCTAAACTTCCTGACTAATTTGTAAAAACATGTTTAGTAACTAGATAGAGGAACATCAAAGGGATCATCACAGCAGCAAATCAGAAATCCTTTAAATGTTAGTGAATGGCAGTAAACTGTATAGGAAGTCAGAGGTTAAAAGTGTCTGGGGGATCCAGTGACAAAGAGGCCTAGAGAAACACATTTATCGATTGGAAATATAAGTTGGGTATATGGAGTGTCTGTATCCTTATGGAGCCTTTGTCATCTGAGGTCTACACAAAGGGATTCACACGGCTTTTATTTTTATTATTATTTCGGTGTATACTCTGTTGGACTGTTTCTATTCATCTGTTTCTGGGATCCAATAAACACTACACTCTCTGGAAAAGAACCAAGGTTGCCTGGATATTTCCTATATATTGCATTCTAAATATTCCGTTTCCCAATCCACATAATCATAAAATATACAGTATATTTCTATACATTTATAACTACACAGACCCACCTCTCATCATGTCTTCAATGCCCTCCGAAGGCTGCGCAACCCCTTTCACCATTGTGCCTGTACCTCCTCTCTCACCCAGTACCCCTCACCATCATCCTCCCTTCCTTCCTTCTCTGAACACAGTGATGGAATAGGCACACTTATGCTAATTATAGTAATAATAACAACAACAGACATTCTGTGGTAAGAGGTTTTCAAATATTACTGTGGTTCCAAAAAAATGTCATTCCTTTAGACAGGGATGGAAAAATGAAGTGGGCTGTCTGCTGGTCTTACTGTTTCCTGCTGCTTGATCTCACACTCTTTGCACTCGATGGCTCTTAGCATCTGTTTGAGGTGTTGTTCCTTCTTGCTCTCCTTATCCTGCAGCAGTCTGTATTGTCTTGTGGATTCTGAAATATCATTCTGAAGGGTGGACTGCTCACACAACATGTCATCCCGCTGTTTTGTGGTGTTCCTCAGATCCTGCAAGAGAATATGAATGTAACAAAATGATGGCAATTGCATTTGTCAATAGACAACTATATAATAACCAAAAAATGCCTAAACTACAGAAATACAGAAAAGGGAATTTATCAAAACTGGAGCAGACAAAATCTGGGGCAGCTGTGCATGACAACCAATCAGCTTCTCTCTTTCATTTTCAAAACTTAACTGAACAGACTGAAGAGAGAAGCTGATTGGTTGCCATGCACAGCTACTCCAGATTTTGTCTGCTCCAGGTTTGATAAATTCCCCCCACAGTGTTGCTCAGAAAATACATTAATCAGAAAGTGAAGTCCTTTATGTGACATGAACATCTGCGCCTCTTTTGCACTTTCAAAACATAAGAAGACGTGATGGTTTGTGGAGTACATGCATGCAGAGACTGCAGAATACAGCCTTTGCAAGTATTCTACTCTCCAAGCATGCTAAGACAAACTAAGCACAAACACATAAGCTTTCAGTCCCTGAAGGAATCAATTTTAGTGCACACAGCACTTAATGGGAGTAATACACAAATATGAAGTTTTCCCAAGGTGTGGCCTCAAATGGAAACAATAGGATACCGATTTTAGAGATAATTTATTTGAAATCAAGGAAAGAATAAAAAAAGTTTACATTATTACGGAATTATATAATGCCATTGTCTCTGTACAAGGTAACGGATATAACCATGGAGGGTATTACACCTATTAAAATACATAAAATATTCCAAAGGTTAGTATGTGCATCTGTGTAGCAAAACATAGCAGTTACAATAAAAGAAAGGGCTCTGTCTGTATAAGCTGAGATCTAGCAGGGAACTGTTGAAGGAGAAGGGGAAATGAGTAGGCTCGGCTGCATCATATATGGGGTCTTATATGAGGAAGCAGTAATGGATCATAGACTCAATACAATATCTTATCTAAAATAATTTGCCATGTCTGAGAAAGGGGAATTTGGAGGGTGCACTGGATGTTTGCCAGGGGTGGAAAGTGCCAAATGATGCATGGAAGGGAATTCTAACAAAAGAACAAGCTCATGAGAAGTCCTAGATGGAGTGTAAGGAAGTGTCCCGAGAGGAGGAGAAAAATATGAGTTTTATATTCACTGTGAAATCCTTTTCTTGGAGTCCATTCAGGGACACAGGAATTCTCAGACTGTTGGCATATACGGACCGCCTAAAGGAGAAATGGACACTGGCAACAAAAAAAAGTTATTGACCAGCACAGGATAATCCCACCCACAACCATCATGCCTGAGATTTGTATGATAGTAGTATAGAGAGCATGAAATGCAAAATGAGGGGAGGGATCCTTGTCCCTCAATGTACTCTAAGAAAAGGTTTTTATGGCAGTACAAAAATCCTATTTTCTTTATCGTCCATTGAGGGACACAGGAATTCTTAGACTGTCGGGATGTCCAAAAGCAGTCCAACGGAGGGGTGGCCAACATAGCAACAAAGGCTAACAGGCCTAAGAAATAAACATTGGGGACTGCCTACAGCTCAAAGAGCCGCATAAAGGACCTAACAACCAAAGGTGAATACCCTCCTGGTAAAACTTAAGAAACATAAAAGACCAGGTCTTGCAAACTGGGAAAAGTTCAAGAATTTAAATCAAGGAGTTAAAGACCAACAGACTCTGAAACAAGATAAACTTCCCAGAAACCTCGCCCTCAAAGTGCTAAGAGCCAATTGCTGGTCCAGACACAGCTACAGGAATGAAAGGATCTGTCCCACAGAGAAACTCCTAGGGTGGTTCACTCGAGATTCACACCAAATGAAGAATGCCTTCCATGACCAATGATAAACCTTACAAGAAGTAGCCTTACTAGCTGTTAGAACCATAGGAAACATTCATTTGGAGATGCCCCTAACTTTAAAATGAAAACCAAGGCATTGACTACCATGCTGTTTAAGCCAGTAGCCGTGAAGTAGAATGGCAAAAATGTCTTTTTGGCAGATGATCCCAAAGATCTGAAAAAACCCACGGAGCGTCTGCCAGGAGTTTTAACAGGATGGCGTACCACATCCAGTCCACAGTAATGATGATCACCAAAATGCTCTATATCTTGCAAAGCTCAGGAGATGAAAAGTATAGATCAAGGTGTGCTGACAAACCTGCCTAGTTTGCTGTGAAACCTGGATGCTAGAAAGTCCACATTCAGAGTTCCCCACCTGCAACACAAGACCTGGAACACCTCCGGATATAGGGACCACTTGCCCAGGTCCAGACGCTTGCAGCTGAGGAAGTGTGCCTGCCTATTGACGTAACAAGGAGGAACTTGAAATACTGCTCATAAAATCTCACTCACTGTTCAGCAAATCACCCGAAGATCCAAGATGCTGATCGGGAGACAAGACTAGCACGATGACCAGGTCCCCTGTATCGGCTGGGTGCAGAGAACTTCCCAGCCCAAAAGGCTGGCACCCGTCATGGAGATCTTTGAGAATATGTGAATGAAGGAATTCCCCGATTCTACAGCCAACTTCCTGAAACACCAGGCCAGTGTCAACCTGGTCCTCAGTGCCATATAAATCAATCTGTCCGGGGATATGGAGTGAAGCTGGGCAGATGGAACCATCTCACAGGAGGCTGCCATCCAGCCCAGGACACAAAAGCAAAAGCAGAAAGTCATGTGACTCCTAGACTAGAAAGCTTGAATCCGAGACCAAAAAGTTTTAAGTTTCTCCTGTGGAAGAAAGACTGAGTTGTGTCCAGGACTAGACTCCAAATGATTTGTTTCCAGCGTTGATTTCTGAAGACTCAGGATCCTCCTGAACTGAAGCAACTTTTAAACAGTCAAAGGTCACGTTGTCCAACAGTACGCATTGACGTGGAGGGGGGCAGGGAGTGGGACTCTAGTTTGCAGCCCTGGGAAACCACCTCCTGCCCCCACATGTCAGAGACGCAAGTTGTCCAAGTGGCTCGCATGCATGTCAAGGAATGATTGTCTGCAGATTTAGCAAACTTTGAGCACTAAATCTAGAAGGCAGACTGGGTACTTGGCTTGGAGGGCCTTGAAAAGGCAGCGTTTAACTGTCAGGAGAAAGAAAAGACTTAGCAGTCTTTTCCTTAAGCTTCTTCCGCTGAGGAAAATGGGTGCTCTTGGCGTCAGTAACATCCTACATAAACAGTACCTGAAAAAGATCTGAAAAGACATAATCCCTTGAAGACCGTGCAGAACAAATGTATCTGATACAAGAAGTCCGCAGTCCAGTATGCATTTTAGATGGCATCTGGAGATTAGCAACGAAATGTATTTTGGGGTCTTTAGAGAACTTGAGGTATTGAGAGCAGCAGCACTAAAAGGGTGATGAAAGGAGCTAGATGAATCAATCAGCAGAGTTAAGGACGGACAAGATTCACCAGAGTGGTACCAGTATTATTGCTTGTAGACTAAAGAGAATAGATAGTGTTACAACAGTAAAACAAGAATATAATGAGAGCTTACTACATGCTCCTAACAGATGATCCCTTTCTATTGGTCCATACTGTAGTTAAACATGACAAGGAGAACCTGACTGGATAATAAGGGCAACAAATAGCTTTTCATTCAGACCTGGTTATGGACAGAAAACATTAATCATATACCTGCTCCACCACCCTCAGCTGATCCCGCAAGGCAGTCAGCTCATCCTGCAGCAGCTTCACCTCCCCGCTTTTTTCTATAGGAAAAAAAAAGGTTTTAAATTAAATAGTAAAAGCTAGAGGTGCACCGAAATGGAAATTTCAAGACCGAAACGAAACTGAAATTTAAAAAAATTGTCAGGCCGAAACCGAAAATGTTTTTTTTTTTTTTAAATTCCAAATTTGATTTTAATTTATTTTTTTATATTTATGAATTCATTATTTATTAAATATTTGTATTTTTTACTTTACTTTTAGGGGCTTCAGGCAAATATTAGGGATCTAAACAGACGCCTGATATTTCCCTTTTAAAATAGAAAAAGAGATTAAGGACACAAAGTCTTCAATCTCTTTTTCTGCAGCCCCTGTTATAAATGAACAGAAATCTTCTATACTGAGTGTTCCTGTCCATTCAGTACACGAGGACACACGGTAGTATGTTTACTATAACCACAATTATGAATGAAGAGGAGATGTAGATCACTTCCCATTCATTCATAATTGAGGATATAGTAAATATACTATGTCCTCAATTATCTACAAACACTCAGCGATCGCTGATCACTGAGTGTTTGCATTAGCTCTCCTTCCTGACACGCTGTCACAGGAGGCTGAACGAGCGGTGTAGGGAGGAGAGCTCAGCCTCCTGTGACAGTGCTGGCTGTCTCCGCCCACACACCACTCTGCCGGACTGTGACAGGAGGCTGAGCAGTGTGGGAGGAGAGACTCTGGCCCCTCACAGTGCTCTCCTCCCGCAGGGCTCGGCCGGCTCTCACATTTTCTCTCTTCCCCACTGGGACACAGAGCTGTATCGGCAGAAAAGAAAGCAGGGATTCGCCGCAAAAGAGACAGTGAAAGGCATTGGGGAGGGAAGTCAAGGGGAGTGGAGCAGTAGCAACAACAGTTTATAGGGTGAATTTCACGGAGTACATCATTTGAATTATTATTGTTGCGTTTAACGATTTCCCAAAAGAAAGCTCAAGTTAGAAACGTTCAACAAATGTTAATAACTTCTTAATTCATTACCAATGTTATTTTCTGCAGTATTATCATTAACATTCTGCCTACTTGCACATGTGTAGGGTATGCTACAGTCAAGGCATGCCTCTGGTGAAAACTCACATTTGCCAGCTCTCGACCGAACTTTTATGGCTGCTGTCATAGCTGGTCACACGTGCAGCACCATAGCAACCGCAAAACTAAGCCAAGAGTACACCATCCTCGGCGGATAGAAGGGTTTAGTTTTCCCTTTTATTTTCTTATGCAACTTTCAGATTTTTATATGCTTGCTCTTCCATGCTTTAGTTATTGTATTAAATGTGGAGATTGGTTGATTATCCAGTAGGGAGATTAGCAAATACACTGGTTTTGCCTAATTACTAAAACTCAGAGCAAACAGCTTAATATACAAATTAAATTCATATACGATAGCGGTTTCATCTGCCAAAGGATTTACATTTCTGTCCATACAGTACTGATATTTATACAGCTCTGTCACAAAGTACAGCCCTGCTGTGTCCCCTACAGGTCTTGTCTCGCCCCCAGCCTGTAACTGGACAGAGAAAGAAGCAGTGGACTGATGAGGTTATCTGCGTCACCCTTTTATATCCTCCTATCGGCAAAAGTAAACTGATAGGAGGATAGTAGGATTAAAGCTCCCCTGTCAGTTATAGTTTGTGCCAAGGCCAGCCACTGTAATTTTTGCTGGTGGACTTGGCCTGACCAATAAAGGGAAGGAAATACGCATACTAAATACATACACCTACAGTTATACTATATTTATATTTAGAAGAGGTACACCAAAATGCAAAATTTCAAAACTGGAATTAAAAACAATGTCAGGTCGAAACCAAAAATGTTTTTATTTTAAACTTTTTTTAAACATTTTATTTTTATTTACTTTTTATAAACTTTTTAATTTTGTATATTTATTTTTATTTATTCATTTTTAAAAAAAATATTTGTATTTTTTACTTTACTTGTAGGGGCTTTGGGGAAATATTGGGGGTCTAAAACAGACCCCTGATATTTCCTTTTAAAATAGAAAAAGATTGAGAACACAGAGTCCTCAATCTCTTTTTCTGCATCCTCTGTTATCAATGACCAGGAATCCTCTGAGTGTTCCTGTTTATTCATAACATGAAGACAGAGTGTGTTTACTATAACCAGAATCATAAATGAACAGGAGGTTATATAGATCACTCCCATTCATTCATAACTGAGGATATAGTAACCATACTCTGTCCTCTCAATTATTTACAAACACTCAGCGATCGCTGAGTGTTTGCATTAGCTCTCCTTCCTGACACATGCTGTCACAGGAGGCTGAGCGAGTGGTGCAGGGAGGAGAGCTCAGCCTCCTGTGACAGCGCGGGCTGTCTCCACCCCCACACCGTTCTGTGACAGGAGGCTGAGCGGTGTGGGAGGAGAAACACCGGCCGCTCACAGCGCTCTCGTCCCGCAGCGCTCGGCCGTCACAGTTTCTCTCCTCCCTGCTGGGAAACAGAGTAGCGCCCAGCGGGGAGGAGAGAATACACGGATGCACCTCTGTATCGGCCAGAAAATGGCACTTTCGGCATTATGCCAAAAGTGCCATTTTCGTCCGATATGTTTCGGTGGCCAATATATTGCTACATCCCTAATATTTACTATAGAATACTACATTTTCGCAGTAGAGGTCCTTTTAAGGGAATTTTTCACAAAGAAACCCATCTGTGTGATTAGGGTGTGCTTGAAGCGGCCGTTTTCCGAATTCACATGCTGGTTCATAGCTCTGGGACAGTAAAGCAGGACCAATTTACACTAGTATGTAGCACATGACTGTTTTCTACTAGAGGTTTAGTATTTTGCTTCCAGACTGATTTCCTCTAATTACACTGGAAAAAAAATAAATCAATGGGCTAAAGTTCAATCTCACACAAGCTCTAGCAGTTTTGGTCCAGAAGAAGGCAAAGCAAAACTCCTTGCATGGCTGATTCTAATTTAAGCACCTCCATAGTGTAACATTGATTTATTAAGGATCAAACACACAGCTGAAAAGGTACTTACAAACCAGCTTGTATAAATGAGCAGAAAGCAATATAATCTTGGTCAGGTTCTGATGAAAGAGGTTTGTCCTCAGAAACGAGTCAACTGAAGGAGGGCCAGCGTGCAGATGGCTTCAGCTTAGTACCAGCACTTCCTTTCCCTCACCCCATTTTCGTGTATTTATCTTGATGGTCTCCTAAGATTATATCGCTTTCTGCTCGTTTATACAAGCTGGTTTGTAAGTACCTTTTCAGCTGTGCGTTTTATCCTTATTAAATCAATTTCACACTATGGAGGCGCTCCTTTTGCTTTGTCCTCATCAGATTTTCGGTTTCCCTTGACTGTGAGGAGCTGCCCCCCTGTATATACTTTTGGAACACCATTTTCAGGAGCAGTTACTGTGTTTTGCCGCCTGTGATTTTCACACATCTTTATACTGTTGGGATTGATTCTAATTTAGCCGGTTTAGTGGGGGAAAGAGGTTTGATTCTAAAGGATGTAAAGAAGCCCATTCTGTACTTTGTGTAGGTTATAAGAAAGAAAACTAAAAGTTTAATAGTAAGAGCTGACAGATTTAGTCAGAGCTGTTATTAGTTATGTGGGACAAAAGGGGGCGCAGGGGTTAATTCTGGGTGACAGATGCACTCAGAGGTATTAGTAGCTGGTGAAACAGGGGCACAAAGATTAGTCAGGTGTTAGAGATGCGGTCAGAAGTCTTATTAGCTATGTTGGGCAGGATGGAGAGAAACAAAAGGTTAGTGGGGGTTACAGATGCGATCAAAGGCGATAGTAGGATTGTGAGGCATAGAGAGGGGGACAAAGGTTAGTAAGGGATGCTAGATGAGGTCAGTGGTGTTAGGCAGTATAGAGCGGGATAAAGGTTAGTCAGAGATAACAGATGCCATCTCAGCTCTCACCTTGCAGTGTTTGTTGAGCAGCTGTGGTTTCCTGTCTAAATGATTCTTTCTGCTTGCTCAGCTGACTGAGCTCACTCTGTAGACTTTTTATATCAGATTCCAGTTTGTCCAGTGTGCCGCTTGCTGTCCTTGCACTCGCTTCTGTGTCGGCTAGGGCCCTGGATCAGGGGAAAGGACATGTACAAATCCCAATGTGCAAAAGAAAAATCAGAAATAAATTTACATTTTAACAGCGGGCCAGTAATGCAGCTGTACAGAGTGCATAAGATGCATGCATCATGAGACAGTTCTCTCCATTTCATATACAGTATATATTTGAGGAAGGTTCAGTTGCTCAGCCCCTGTGAGTGCCGAGTTAGCAAACCGCCACTGCTGCAAGTCAGCGTTCAGCACTGCTAACTTAGCACTCACAGTGGAAGTGAATGTGGCTGCAGAGCGCTGAGTGTGACCTCAGCATAGTAGTAGCCCCAGAGGAGCAAATCACAAGTCAGTGTGGAAACCTGCAATTTAATGTTTTGGTGGACTAGTGTGAACGAAAAACTGTCTGAATAACATGGAACAGCTTGTTCAAAAAACTCTTTTATTGCAACGGTGGGCTGGTGACCTAATTGTTGCATCCATATGAATATATTTGTGTTTCTATCTCTTCCTCAGATAATGAAACATCCATTTAATTCATAGCCACATCAAATATGCCATAGCTCACAGTTTCCGCCTGTAAAACAGCAGAAATTGCACTAATGGCAGAGTTTAACACTGAATCCTCTGCCATTTTGCTTAGAACTGTGCAGCCGAAGCATTCAGTGAAGCGCTGCAGAACAGCTGCTCAGTGCTTGGCTAAGTAACTGTGGTGCTCAGTGGAGGCTTTCCCCGCTGTATAACCAGTTAGAAGACGGTCTGAACAGAGAAAAAGCTGTCAGACAGCTTTTTCTTCCATAATGGCAGGTGAGGCTCTGCCTCACCTAACTACATCCCCGTGTCCCTGATATAGAGATATATATAGGGTGTACTCACTTTTGTTTCCAGCGGTTTAGACATTAATGGCTGTGTGTTGAGTTATTTTGAGGGGACAGCAAATGGACACTGATATACAAGCTGTACACTCACTACATTGCATTGTAGCAAAGTGTCATTTCTTCTGTGTCGTCACATGGAATTATATAATAGAATATTTACAAAAATGTGAGGGGTGTACTCACTTCTGTGAGATACTGTATAGATTATATATATATACATACACATACATATATACACACACACACACACACACACACACACTCAGCTCTTTGACACGTGTGAAGAAGTGTCACAGTTCTTGTTTACAGCTACACTTCTCTGTAACTCCAGTTGGGTACCGTTGTGTTTGTCAAGTAGTCAAATATTAAAGAAGAAAGGTGGCCAGCAGTAAACGGACCAGAATGTAGAGGGAAGCTGCTCCCTTTAGAGGTCATCACACCATTTGGAATAAAATCAGAAGTTTAGCAATTACTTCTTCGTATGAGCCAGTTTGCGCTCCAGGTCATCTCTGCTCTCCTCCAGTTGTTCCTTTTCTCCACTCAGGATTTCCACCTTCTCCTGCAGAGTGTGCATCTGTGTCATGAGAAGCTCGATCTCCTGGTGATCTTTTTCCAGTAGCTGCTTCTTCCAGTCCACCTCTCCATTTAGTCGCTGCAACATCCTCTGCAGGTTCTCCAGTTCCAGTTTCCCCTGCAATCACACTTTACCAGTTAAAAACAAATCAAATAGTACTAGTATACAAACAAATATATGAACACTATGCTTGCACAATGGAAACATATTTGTGCATTTACAGATCCCTCAATAAGAGTCAAATCAATGGATTATAGCGGAAAAAAACCTCTTATCCCCTCTCTTCTTTCTTTCTTACTTACTTTCCTAGTTTTTCTAAGACTCAGCAGCTTGTACAATTTTCATGGCCTGTTTATCCTGAGTCCTCCTTGAATAAACACAATGAAAGAGGAAGTCTAGCTATTGAATAAATTTCATGTGTTGTAGCAAATCTTTTCACCCTGCAGTGAGTTATATCACTCTTATTGTAAGCACACACAGCTAAACTACCTCTCTGTACATTGTTGCCCAGTCTAAGTTTTAAAACATGTTTTTAAACGCATCCCATGATACACAAAACTGGGCCATTTCTGCCACAGACTGGGAGGAGACTTATTGGCATATCTCACCTGCAACAGCAGCGGCTGAGTCTTCTCCAAGTCATTAATTTTCTGATCATGCTGCATTTTCAGCCCCCGTAGCTCATTCGTTTCTAGTTGCTGCATTTCCAGCACATGCTTCAACTCTACAAGGGAAACATTTTGCATTAGAAACAGAGGGCCATAGCAGGGCAAAAAACGTTTTTGGATCAACCATGATTACCCAGTATCAGAAGTTATATGACCTTAGAGACTTCCATGCTAGCAGCGCAGGTCATTGCTGCTGTTGTAAGAACTCAAATAGAGCAGAAACATACTATGACACAAATCCACAGTCCATCAGGTGTCCATAGGTAACTCACTTGTGGAATAGATAAGGGTAATAAATCTTACAATAGGTGAAGAAAACTGGATAGAAAACTGGATAGAAAACCAGTTAAGTGAGAACTTGACTCTACAAAGGAGGGGCACACCTCTATGGATAAATAATCAGCAAATTGATCACAAGTGCTTTACTCATCCATAAGTTGTATGTCTGACATATTTTGGGGCAATTAAGAGTGCCCAATTCATCAGAGCTGTATGTGCAGAATTCCTGTAGTTACAAAATTGTGCAAGTAGAAGCACAAAGTATATGAATGTAATTAGGAAGATCATACATGAAGATAGAATAGATTCAAATGAATTGGTACATCTGGTTTTTCAGCAGCAATGGTGCACAAATGAGAATTTTGAAACTAATGATCAGGGATTCTATCTGCACAATTTCATAACTACAGAAATTCAGTATTGTCATGATGAAGGGGACACTAACTGACACAAGATGCATTGGCTATACGAATTTATGAAGATCAATTTGCCTGCTTATTTGTCTGTAAACATTTGCCCCTACTGTTTGGAATCAAGCGCACTCTTTAGCGGCTTTGGTATCCATTGTGAGAAGTCAGACTTTGCCAAGATCGGAGGAGACTACGTACACCAGAAGCATGAGCTCCGACTGGGTATTTTTACTGCAAACCTAAAACATCAGCATTTGAACTAAATGCTGCTCCTCACATGTAGATAATACATTCCAAAAGGGTTTCTCAGTTCAGGTTGAGTACACTAAGTTTCCATCCCCCACTGGGTTGTATGCAGACATGGTAGATATATTACCAGTTTTTTGTTTGTGAATCTGAGAGGTGCGTTTTTGTAGATTGTCCTCTTCCTGCATCACTTCCTGTTTAAGGTTGGACAGATGCAATCTTTTTTCATTCAGCTGGGCACTCAGTTCCCCTTTTTCAACACTTAAATCGTCCAACAAGGATTTCACCTCCTACAAGACAAAAGCAGAAGATATGTGTTTTAGAACTTCTAAAATGGCTGACAGTAACATTAGAGACCCATTAATGACTGATGGCAAAGTTAATTTGTGGCTACATAAAAGCTAGAAACTGGCACTTACAGCCAGCACTTAAACCAGACAAATATTTCTGTAGAGTGGCCCATCAGTCCCAAAAACATGGATGCTTTTAATTCTATCCACCTCCTTCCTATTGATCTATCAACAGGCCATGTTAGGCAGCGTCACTAGGCAATAAGTGGCAGGCAGAGTTCAGAATCGGTATGCAGGATTCACTGGGTGCTCTGTTGAAAAACCAAACAGACATCTGGGCACTCAGGAGGTGCCTTCGCTACAAGGTAAGTGCTTTCTATTTAGCTTTTATATAGGCACATATTTGCTTTTAAGAATGGCAACATACACAAATAATTGGCTCTGATTGTGGTGTGCCTATACTGTAGTTCTGGATGAACAATAAATAGGGCATACAATGGTTTCAATGTCTTCACCCAAGTATTCAACCAGCAAAATATGAAGCTGGACTTAAGAGGTATGATGTGTCCACAGTAAACCTTAGGCGAAAGGAATGGCCATGATTTTTTATATGGACTACACACCTTTGTCCCTGGGGTGGTAAGGATGCAGTGATACGCGAGTACTGATTTTTGTAAGCAGGGTTGTACTAAAGGTGGTCTCTATTTCTGTCAAAACTGCTTGGATAGATTACCTTTATCTCTCGCCTTTTCTCAGCTGCCTCCTGCTCCCCGCGCCGCAGGACCTCCTTCAAATCACCCATCTTTATCTCAATTTGGTCTTGCAGGAGATTCAGCTCTTCCTTCTTTTGTCCCAAGACCCGGTCCAGTTCCGTAATTTCATCCTGCTGTAATGAAATCTGTAGGACAAGAACGAAAATAATGAGTTCAGAGGGAGCTAATAACAGAATTATCATTTCACAGCAGAATAGAAAATATGAATTCACTTACCTGACTGTTTAGTCTCTCCAGAATAATCTTTTTTTCCAGAAGGAGATTTTCAGCTTCCTTCAATATCTGCAGATGGTGGTCTTCTTTACCCTCCGCTACCTGGATGTCGTCCTGCAGCTTCAGAAGACTGAAAACCAGAAAATATTTCCACAAGTGTAAAATGTCCATAGAGAAGGATATAGATGCAGGATAAATAATGAGAATAATGAATACTTCCACCAATAAATCATGACAGTAGCTTGAAATATTCAGAAACATGGGACTTCAAACACCAACCTGTCAGCCATGGTTTGGATCTTGTGGTTCAGAGACTGGAATTCGTTATCTTTTGAAGACACAACGCTGTTTATCTCCTGCAGGATATTTTCTTGCTCTGCTCTGTGTTGTTCCAAGTCTCTGGCATTGGTTTGCAGAATCCTAAGCACATACATTTTGACTTATAAACATGCAAGAATTGTATAACTGTACCCATGAGTTCCAGCAGACACTTTCGCTGATTGTGCTCACAGAAAGGTTCACAGACATGACTATAACTTTGACAGTTGTGTGTCCCCCTAGCAATAAGCCTAGCACTGTGTTTTTTTAGACAACACAAATGTGAATGTTGAGTTCACACTTTTACAGACAATTATATATATAATCACGGCAGCACACTTTCACCCCACTGTCCATCACACTTGTTGTCAAAAGTCCTATATACTGAATGGATCAGTTCCAGTTTACAGTAGAGGAGATGAGGACAATATGCCTAAACCAATACACTATATAAACATATAGAGAACTGTGCATTCACACACATCTATGACATACCGCAGCTGCTGGTCAGCTTTTACGAGATTCACAGCAGTTTCCTGTGCCCGTCTCTCCAGCTCTTCTGCATCGTTCTCCGTTTGGGATAAATGCTTCTTAGCTGTACTGTATTTTTCTATTAAATCTGCAGTCTGAACAATGGAGAATTACAGAATACTAGTAATTGTCACATCACATTCCTGAATGAACAATTATTACAGCAGGTATATCCGTAGGTCTATATAACATGCAGAGCTGCCATCTACCAACCTTTTCCTGTGTGTCCTTCAGTTCATTTTCTGCCTCCGCCAGAAGCCGGTCAGCCTGTCGGAGCTCTGCCCTTCTCTTCACAAGTGTTTTTTCTATGCAATCAATCTCATCCCCAATACTGTCATGATGCTGCAATGATCTCTCTAGTTCCAGCTCTGTAATCAGGTTGTCCAGATGTCCCTCTGTGAAATTCCTGACAAGGCACAAATTGTTAGCCATGCCTAAACATACCCGTAAGACAAGGAAAAAACCACCTATAAGTGCTATAGATTTCTAATCACAACTTCATTACACATTTAGATCGCTCCAGTACACGAGACACTTACTTGCGCTTATGTTTCTGGGTGGTGTTATGCAAATCTTCGACCTCTCTTCTCAGCATTTGTTTGCGACGCTCCAGTTCTTTAATATCATCTGTTAATCGCACTTTTGCCCTTTTTTCTCTTTGACGGCGAGACTTCAGGTGATCTATAATATCTTCAAGTCGAGCAACTTCATTTTCCTATTAAAATACATTTGGTGTATATTATTTTTACATTATTATATGTAAAATTATCAACTTAAAAGGTGTATGTCAAAGGCAAATATAGGATTTTTGTACTCGCCATAAAATTCTTTCCTCGGATTCCATTGAGAGACACAGCTTAAGCATAATTAAGCAATGTATGGTATACTGCCATCTACAGGAAAAATGGACACTAGGGACATAGAACAATCTATCTAGTCCACTGAGAAATAGGGGACTTGAAGCCCAAGAGCCTCTTTTAGGACCTTTTAGATTAACAAACTGGGATTCCATCTGCTAAGCAGTGGCTGAGAGGTGTGGCTTAATGGCCCTTGTCACATCCAGACACCGGAGAGAGATCTTCTTAGGGTGAACAAAACTGAACACAACAAAAGCAACCCAAAATCAAAAAAACTTCCACTGCAGGTTACAGCCAAGAGATTTTTGTGCGTGGATTAAAGCTGCGCACCGGCACCTGCCGTCATCACAATGTGGGACACGAAGGTGTTAGAAAACAAGGAGCTTAATTCTGTATCTGCACTTAAGAGGGCAGAAAAACTGATTAAAACATACCTGTAATAAGCTGCACTTACAGAGGCAGTGTTACGGTATTGGTACAATTGAACATGCAACAGTATTAGGCAGCTGAACTTTACAATACTAGGCCACACACAATCTGCAGACTAAGAGAAAGCCACGGTGAAGGGAAACCAGGAGTGAGCACACACTAGGTCCATATCGTACTTTGTCTATCATTCTCTTGTGGACACTTGCGTACCTGGCAAAGTGTGATATGACTAAGCCCAGGAATGGGTGAAATGTGTCACATGGGGACTGCGGGCAGGACTCGGCGTCACTGAAGAGCTTTCAATTAACTGATTCAGTGTGGAATGGAGTGCAGCTGGATTTTATTAAATTTACTATAGACTTGTGATGAGAGCGGTTATAGCTTCTAGGGGACTGGCCTTCATTTTCTAAGGTCAAGTCTCCATTTCTCCTGTTGGCTGCAGTATAACTCTAAGTTGCTTTATTATCACCAAGCAGTGTCCCTTAGTAGACAGAGAAACTTCATTAATAGGGAAGTCAATCAAGTCAAGTTTGTATTGCTGTCTGGGTCCCAATAGGGAGATTCACCCTTCTATTCGTCCTGGTGACCATAGTCACCATGACAGAAAGTGACAGAAAATCCAAATATTTTATTAGTCATCAGAGAGATGAGAGAAAATCCTCCTCTGAATATACATTAGAATACTTAACGAATTACAGACGAAAATTCAAACAAATATTTGTTAAATGGTGCAATGTTATTTATCTTTATATGTAACCGCATCAGTGCAATACTTTCTTCTGACGGAGGTACTGCTGACTATAATAATCAATTTTTCATAATGAGACCCAGGACTTACCAGATTGTGATGTGCAGACACATTGCAGTGCAGAACGCCAGCTGGAATGACTGGAATAGTGAACTGCGGAGGAGGAGGACCATAAACAAAGTGAGAGCCAGCAGGTGGGGGCCCATATACAACAGTCCCAGGGGCCACAGATCTACCAGTGGAGGGAGGTGCAGGTCCATAAATGACAGTCCCTTGGGGGACTGGAGAACCATCAGGAAACACTGTATAAATTACTGAGCCGGGAGGAGGAACAAAGCGACATGGTGATGTATCACTATCACTGCGTGAGCCACCATCGACTTCATCATCTGCCAGCGAAAGGAAAACATTACTTAACCCACAAGACAGAAACAGATTTTCCAGTGCAATTCATGTAAACCGAGACAAATACAGTTCCCAAGTTTCTGGCATTAAAGAAAACCAGTTACAGAGAAAACACCTATCTAGGTGATGGAAGCTGTACCAATGTCACTGTGAGGGGTGATGAAGTCTGCCCTAGAAGCAGCAACACTTCTAGGACCTGAGCTTCTACAGGACCATTTTTTTTTTTACATCTGAGAATTTTTGACAATTAAAAAAAAATAATAATAATAATAATATTATTAATAAGATGATGGAAGGGTGAGAGCTACAGTAGTATACACAAAGTCGGTACTTAAAAGCTCAAGAGCCACATGCATGCTGTAGCGAGAGTTTTATAGCACCTGAACCTTGGAAAAAAAGGCACTGGGGTCTACTTATAAACAATCTGAAGAGCCATTATCCCTGCAAATCTTTCTGAACGTTTGTTCTGTGTGAACAGACACAAAACTGAATGTTCTCAGATATATTTATGCAAAGTAATGTAATAATAAATTGTGACCACTAGATGGAGCCAAAGAGCATAGTAAATAAATACTTTTTTTGCATTAAAATCAGATTTTTAAAATGATGTCTTTATATAATTGTTAGTTTTAAAAATTATCAGTGAGATAATCTGAAGCATGAATGAAAAACAGAGTCCAATACAAATTTGGAACTTAAATAGCACATTTATTTATACAGATTTCTACACCAGGCAAAGGAGTGTGATTTCAAAAAAGGGACTCAGCCTTTCTCAACCTTTTTGATTCGGTGGAACCCTTGAAATAACGTTTTGGTCTCAGAGAAGCCCTGCTAATAACTACGGCGATCAAGGATCACATGCAATTGTTTTTGCTTGAAAAGAATATCATAAGCGATAGTCAGCACGGATTCACAAAAGACAGAAGTTGCCAAACTAACCTAATTTCTTTTTATGAGGAAGTGAGTAATAAATTGGACAGAGGAATGGCTGTGGATGTAGTATACTTGGACTTTGCAAAAGCGTTTGACACAGTTCCCCACATGCGGCTAATGTATAAGTTAAGGTCAGTATGTACCGAGCATTCCATATGTCATTGGGTAGAAAACTGGCTTAAAGACCGTATTCAGAGAGTGGTGATCAATGATTCATACTCTGAATGGTCTGAGGTTGTTAGTGGTGCCCCCAAGGTTCAGTGTTGGGCACCTTACTGTTTGTCCTGTTTATAAATGACATAGAATTGGGGATTAAAAGTACTATTTCTGTGTTTGCAGATGACACTAAGTTATGTTGTGGAATACAGTCCTTACAGGATGTCTCCAACTTACAAGCAGATCTGAATGTTCTGTGTGATTGGGCAACTATTTGGCAAATGAGGTTTAATGTTGATAAATGTAAAGTTATGCACTTGGCGACTAAAAACATGCATGCGTCATACACTCTAGGGGGAGTATGTTTGGGGGAGTCAATGGTGGAGAAAGATCTGGGTGTTCCGGTAGATCATAGACTCAATAATAGCATGCAATGTCAAGCCGCAGTCTCTAAAGCAAGCAAAATACTTTCTTGTATTATATGGGGTCTAGACTCCAGAGAGAGCGAAAGAGACATCATCCTGCCCCTGTACAAAGCATTAGTAAGACCTCATCTGGAATATGCAGTTCAGTTTTGGGCACCAGTTCACAAAAAGGATATTGTGGAACTGGAGAAAGTGCAGCGAAAGGCGACTAAACTCATAAGAGGCATGGAGGAGCTCAGCTATGAGGAGAGATTAACTGACTTGAATTTGTTCTCTCTGGAGAGATGATCACCATGTATAAATACATAAACGCTCCATATAAAGAGCTTGGTGCCAAATTATTGACGTTAAGGTCACTGCAAAGGACAAGGGGGCACTCTTTGTGTCTGGAGGAAAAGAGGTATAACCTTGCATATGGAAAGGATTCTTCACAGTTAGAGCTGTGAAAATGTGGAATAGACTCCCCCAGAAGCTAGTAATAGCTAGCTCGGTTAATTGTTTAAAAAAACATCTGGATGTATTCTTAAATACACAGAATATTACTGGATGTTGAGTTCTTATAGGTATATTAAGCATCAGAGATTGTTGATCCAGACAAATATCCGATTGCCTTATGGGATCAGGAAGGATTTTTTGCCTTCCTCTGGATCAAAAGGGGGTAGCTGTGGCATAGCATTCTGTTTAGGCTTTTCTTCTATTTTTTTTTTCTCCGTATCTCTATAGGTTGAACTCGATGGACCTGTGTCTTTTTTCAGCCTGACTATGATCTATGGCTTAAAGAACATTAGCATGATAGTCAGCGGCAAGAATGCTCCTTACATTTGTGGTCAGTTGGAAGAATCCTCCCTTACAGATAGCTAAAAACATCATTGGTGTCTGTGGCTACTTACTGGAGATGCAAAAAATACTCTTTGTTCAAGGAATGCCTACCAACCTCTGGAAAAAAACAAGGGTTCCACAGGACTCTGGTTGAGAAAAGATGATCTAGAGTAGACTGTTTACATGATCTACAGTTATATATTAAGCTTCCCATACATGTAGCAACTTCAAGGGAATTGTAACCACTAAATGTGCAGTGTAATTGAAATCCCAAGTGATCAAGTGCAGGAATAAGTGGTTTTGATTGACAGCAAGGAAACAAGATTGAAATTGCCTTGATTAAACCTTGCAAAAAAATGTGACAGCTTTCAACATTTCTGTAGTTTGTTTCTGGTTTTGATCTTTCAAGAACCTGCATTAAATCAATTTATATATAATTGTGCCAGTTCAACTGATCAAATTCAGTTTAACTTGCGAGTGGCAGATGCTTGATTTTTACGCAGCCGCTTTCAACCACATGTCTTACTCTTGGTTGACCTAAAGTGCTTGAAGTTGCCACATGTATGGCCAGCTTTCCAGGTGGTAATGGAAGGGGAGGCACAGTCAAGAAGGGGTCCCCTGACTTTAATGGCCTAGGCACAGTATCCCTCGGTGTTAGCTGCAACAAAAATGACAAGATCTCTGCTATAGAAAAGTAATTTGGCGTTTCATAGACAATCTATTTTAGTATTGCTTCTTAACCTACCTCTGTGGCACCTGTGATGCCCATGTCGAAATGGTGAATATACCCAATGCCCCATTCCTGGCGTTGAAAGCTTCTCCTTTTTGATGTGTCTGTGGTGACCATCCTTCCATCTTGCAGGAGATGAGGTCAGTGGGTAATGTAAACTGACACCAGAGTCTTTAGTACTTATCGAATCACGTCCAGAGTTCTGCTAAATTAAACGCAGTTTAGCACTAGTGTTTGCTAAACATTATCTATTATTTATGCAAGAATTAAGTTCCTGTACTTATGGCTGCCAGGCAGATGAGGACAGCAGTGAAGAGACAGGAGTATTAGAAAATCCAAGACGTTGACCTATCTACAGTCATGTGAAAAAGAAAGTACACCCCATTAAAACGGATTACCTTTTTGACATACTTGAAGAGGCAAATATAAGATCTTCATTTCAACCTGTGCCTACAGATTAGGGTGATATACCGTATTTTTCGCTCCATAAGACGCACTTTTTTCCCCCCAAAAGGAGGGGGAAAAAGTGCCTGCGTCTTATGGAGCAAATCCCGACGCCCGAGACATGCAGTTTCAGGCGCCGGGCGAGTAGTAGGAGCCACTGCTCGTTTAATACGAGTGATCTAACGAGATCACTCGTATTAAAGCCGAGCAGCGGCGGCGGCGATCGAGTTCAGCAGCAGGAGCCACTGCTCGTTTAATACGAGTGATCTAATGAGATCACTCGTATTAAAACCGAGCAGCGGCGACGATCGAGATAACCATAGAGCAGACGAAGAATAGACGTTCTTCGCCTGCTCTGTGTCATCACTGAGACCGTGGCGCTGTAATCACAGCGCCACCTGTCTCAGCGGTGACTAACTGCAGCTTCTGTCACAGCTTCTGTCATAGAAGCTGTGACAGAAGCTACAGTCTCGAGTGCTCCATAAGGCGCGCCGGACCTCCCTGCGTCCTATGGTCCGGTGCGTCTTATGGACCGCAAAATACGGTACCTGAACAAATAATACATAATATTGTCATGGTGTATTTATTCTTATAATCAAAGTTCTGAAAGAAGGCTGTGGATGCCTAGAAGTCTGGTAGAAGTTTTAAAAGTATTTGAACTCAATCATTTCACATTAAGGACAATAATCTACAATGTATTGGTCACAATGGGCAAATAGATACAAAACATGTCAAGCCTTGAGGTCTCGTTCACACCAGACACTGACCAAGCCTGATTCTGGTCAGAACACACTGCATCGCATTGGGCCAGCTCACTATGTTGTGGGGCAGGAGGGGGCGTGACGGTCCATTAAAGTCAATGGCATCGTAGCCGCGCCCACCGGCCGCAATGTGATTGGTCGCACGGGAACGCAAGGCACATTAATGTCTGCGGTCCAGTCCGAGCCAAACAAAATGCTGCGATGCAGTGCGTTCCGGCCAGAATCGGGCCAGAGTCCGCTCATAAATTTAGTGTTAACAGTGATTGATGGCCCTAGAAATATTGTGCGCACTCTGAAGTTCGCAATCTTAGCTTTCCCACAACCGAGTATCTGATGCATGTTTGTATGTGCATGTACATAGGGACGGGGGAGTTTTTTTCTCTGCTTTTTTTTTTTTTTTACAGTATGTGTGATAGCACAGATACTGTGACAGGTCTTCTTTATGGAGACATCAGAGATCTATTAGACCCCAAATGTCACCTATAGACGGCAAAGAAGCTGATAAAGCACAGATCATGCTATACCAGCTTTTTCTCTGGGTACAGCAGCCGGAGAAATGACAGACTGAAACCAGAAGTGATGTACTACACATTGCTTCCGCTCTCAGAGATCGGAGGGGAGATTAGCCACTGGAAGTGTGTAAATCTCCCTCTGATCTAAGTGCAGAGACCCGGGGGACAGTAGAGCCCAGGGTAGCCAGAAGCGGCAAAGACCCAGGGAACAGCAGAGCCCGGGATGGCCAGCATCAGTAGTAAAGGGGGAAGGCGCACACACTTCTCCAGCACTGAACAAGTGAATGGGCAGCTCGGTAGCCACCTGAACAGTTGTATATAAACAGGCATCGCCAACTGTAAAAATTGTTCAAGGCTTCCCGCTCCTGCGCTGGATTGGGAGCAGGAAAATATGTTTAAAACGTCCACCTGCCCTCAAGTGCGAGCCGTACAGCTGTTGAATTACAACGGCAAGCAGTTTTGATTAAAATGTGAGATCATCTGTCCAAAAGTTGAAGTTAAAACAGGAAATTGATCTTTTAATATGATAATAATCTGAAACGCACTAGAAAATCCACCAAGGAATGGCACAAAAGAAAAAATGAAGGGTTATGGATTGGCCTAATCAAAGCCCTGATTTGAATCCCATGATAATATTTTAGTGCAAGGAAACCCACAAAAATCTTGCAACTGAAGACATTTTGGATGGAGAAGGGGGTCACAAAAGTTGGACAGAGACTGGCCAGACAGTTATGTAAAACACCTACAAGAAATAATTTCTGCTAAAAGGGGACAATACCAGCTTCTGAAGTCAAGAGTATACTTACTTTTTCCAAAGTACACCATAAGATCTAATAAGATGTTTGGTCTGATCAGCTCTGTGCCTGAAGCTGCTGTTCTCTGCTGTCACAGAGTTATTAAAAAGGCAAAATTTCCTTCTATTTTAAGTTTATTCAGGTGTATTACCGTTATCTGTAGGCATTGTATGAATAAAGATCTAATGTTTGTCTGTTCAAATATATTACAAACATCAAAACATTTCCATAGGGTGTGCTTACTTCTTAACAAGACTGGATATCTTCCCAAAAAAATGTTAAAGGAGAACTATGGGGTTAAGTCTTTTCCCCATAGTTCTCCTTAGGGTAACGGGAGGACACAAACTAGCGTCCTCCCGTCACCCTAGGCTCAGTATACCGCGAGCTGTAGCTCGAGGTATACTGAGAAGCAGACAATTGTGCCGGGATCCACCCAGCTGCGTGACTGACAGCTGGCTCTGCCTATCTAGAGACAGAGCCAGCTGTACCCGCCCCCTCCCCAGTCCGATCCTCCGGGGGACAGTAGAGCCCAGGGTAGCCAGAAGCGGCAAAGACCCAGGGAACAGCAGAGCCCGGGATGGCCAGCATCAGTAGTAAAGGGGGAAGGCGCACACACTTCTCCAGCACTGAACAAGTGAATGGGCAGCTCGGTAGCCACCTGAACAGTTGTATATAAACAGGCATCGCCAACTGTAAAAATTGTTCAAGGCTTCCCGCTCCTGCGCTGGATTGGGAGCAGGAAAATATGTTTAAAACGTCCACCTGCCCTCAAGTGCGAGCCGTACAGCTGTTGAATTACAACGGCAAGCAGTTTTGATTAAAATGTGAGATCATCTGTCCAAAAGTTGAAGTTAAAACAGGAAATTGATCTTTTAATATGATAATAATCTGAAACGCACTAGAAAATCCACCAAGGAATGGCACAAAAGAAAAAATGAAGGGTTATGGATTGGCCTAATCAAAGCCCTGATTTGAATCCCATGATAATATTTTAGTGCAAGGAAACCCACAAAAATCTTGCAACTGAAGACATTTTGGATGGAGAAGGGGGTCACAAAAGTTGGACAGAGACTGGCCAGACAGTTATGTAAAACACCTACAAGAAATAATTTCTGCTAAAAGGGGACAATACCAGCTTCTGAAGTCAAGAGTATACTTACTTTTTCCAAAGTACACCATAAGATCTAATAAGATGTTTGGTCTGATCAGCTCTGTGCCTGAAGCTGCTGTTCTCTGCTGTCACAGAGTTATTAAAAAGGCAAAATTTCCTTCTATTTTAAGTTTATTCAGGTGTATTACCGTTATCTGTAGGCATTGTATGAATAAAGATCTAATGTTTGTCTGTTCAAATATATTACAAACATCAAAACATTTCCATAGGGTGTGCTCACTTCTTAACAAGACTGGATATCTTCCCAAAAAAATGTTAAAGGAGAACTATGGGGTTAAGTCTTTTCCCCATAGTTCTCCTTAGGGTAACGGGAGGACACAAACTAGCGTCCTCCCGTCACCCTAGGCTCAGTATACCGCGAGCTGTAGCTCGAGGTATACTGAGAAGCAGACAATTGTGCCGGGATCCACCCAGCTGCGTGACTGACAGCTGGCTCTGCCTATCTAGAGACAGAGCCAGCTGTACCCGCCCCCTCCCCAGTCCGATCCACCAGTCAGCGCTGGCAGATCGGAGCGGGGAGGGGGGAATCCAGCCCCTCCCCTGTCATGGCAGAGAGCCGTGACAGGATCGAGAAGTGAGCAAACGTCGGTATGTGTTCGCTCACCTCCCGATCTACTGAGCCGACCTGTGACAGTCTCATTGTCACAGGTCGGCTAGAACTATGAGGTGAGTGAAAAGCACTCACCTCATAGTTCTCCTTTAAGCACAGAAGTTTTATATAGAAATGTATTTAACTCAGGGCAAGGGTAAGGCAATTAGCAGATTTTGTTTTTAGTGCACTTTGAAAATGTCAAATTTGAGCAGCAGTTTTATTTCTGTGTGATACCATGCTGTTTGTCCGTCACAATGGCAGCACAAGAAAGCCAGTGAGAGAGTTAGGTGGGACTGGAAGTGACATAAATCTTTTCTACAACCAGCCTCTTTACAGCGGCAATATGAAAAAATTAATGGAGCATAATATTCCCCTTCAAATACCCCAAAACCACCTGAAAAAAAGCACAAAAAAAAAAAAAAGGTCCTGCCTTCCTTATTCTCCCAAATTGCTGCATATTGACCCCTGCAAAACTACAAATGCACTTCACAGTCAGTTATTTGCCAACAAACCTACTACCCAAAGATAAAACGCTCATACATAGCTGAGTGAGTAAAATATTCTAATATTAATATCTAATAGTAAAATATTAACACAACTTAAACATACCAATTATTCAGAGACTTTTATTTTAGTTACAGTGTGCCCTTATGGCAGTGTTCCTACAAGCTCAGTGTTTTACACTTACATTGGAGGAAGATGGCACATAATACCAGTAACCTCTCCTCCGGAACGGGTCGGTCATGCCAGTGATATAATCATTCTGATACCCAAGAGCATTTCTGAGGGAATCAATCTCATCCAGTAGATTGTCGATCTCTTCAGCATTATCTAGAACAGGAGTATATTTACTGTGAAATCTTATACTATGGAAAAAGCCTTACATTGCAGTGCTGCAACTATAGTTATATGTGTTATTTCAGCAGTAGAAGGCGTCTCACCAACTCTGACATGATCCAGCATGTGTCTGAGGCGCTCTATCTCTGCCCGCTGTCTCCGAAGCGTCTGGTTGAGTTTGTCAATCTCCAGCTGCTGGGAGGTGGAGATGGTGGCACCAGCATCTAAATTCTGCACCTCTTCCCGGAGCTGTGAAAACACAACATGAAGAATATACATCACATTTCCATGGCATGACTGAACACTGAAAATCATTGTCCATGTATGTAGATATGTACAGACATGTATCACTATAAGTAAAGAAAACAATAATTCCCGTCACTCATTTCAGCTAGATAATAAAGAGTACATACCCTGGACCATACTATCAGGGCAGCCACAGACAAACCGTTGTCTCCAATAGAAAAATCTTGTTACATGTGAAAAAAACAAATGTTCATCCGAGACATGGAAAGCCAAAACGCAAAGAACTGAGGAGGAGAAAGTAAAAAATATATCTGGAAATTTGAGTTTCCCACGTCTTTTCAAATTCCATCAGGCGTCCCCCCACCAGAAATAGAAAAGGCTGGAGCAGAACTTAATGTTAAAGCAGATATTTTCATTGCTAAGAATGTCTAGAGCAGTGGTTCTCAACCTGTGTAACCTCAGGACCCACATTCGCCCTCGGTCCTTAAGTCGTGACCCAGGTCGCATTGAAATGGAATGCACAAGAACTGGAGTGGATCCTCAGCTTGGGGTCCAGTGTGGGCTGCTGTGCAGTAACGTAGCTCCATCCATATGTGCATTGCTTGTACAGCTCCCTTGCGCGCCATGTAGAGGTGCCGAGAGCCAGAATGTGATGTCACTCTGGTCCAGGCACCTCCATAAGACATGTGAGGGAGCTGTAAGCAATGCACGTTTATATGGCGCTCCCTCGCGGCCATACCCCCAGTCCACCTCAAGCTGACACTTGGCACCGGGCAGCATATTTTGAATTGCTGCTTGCCGTGAGAACTGTCAGTGGAGCCTCTCGCCTAGAAAAGTGGAAGGCATGCGGTTACCCAATGAACACGGGGTCGCGACCCACTTTTGGGTCACGACCCACCAGTTGAGAACCAAGGGTCCAGAGGGTCCAAAGGTTTGGAAGTGTAAGATATCTTTTGAAACTGGGAACTAAAGAAACTTATAAAAGACGGAAAAGAAGGAGCAGACTTACAGCTTTAAAAAAAACAACCTTTCACGCAGGGTAAGCATAAAAGTCCCCTTTTACATTGGAATACCACCAGCCAGCACTTAGGCCAGATAGCTATGCATATCTGAAAGGAAGAGAGACACACAAAACAACAGATGACAAGCATCAAGAAAAGCATCACATATGAAATGAGAAGCAACAGTCATCTGATCCGCACAATCAATAAAATGTGGATCAAATCCAGTAGTCACCTGTTTTTATTTAAAGATTTTGTCCAAGTAGCCAAAATCTGGGAAATAAGGGCAGTAGCCAAAGTAGTTAACGAATAAATGGAACGGAAAAGATTCTCCAGTTGTTTTTTTTAACAAAATCATCAGGAAAAGATGGAGACATAAAGCGTCTAGGAACCTGAAATTGCTTATCCAGAATTTCCCAATCCTTATATATAAAAAAAAAAAAAAAAAAAAAAAAAAAAATTAAGGTAAAAAACCTTGCAAACACGTTCACGTGAACCTAGTCTAGAAACCGCAGAAGTAGAAATAACAGAATCCTCCAATGTTAAAGAGGAACACAACCTCAATTAAGAAGGCAACCGTTTCTTTCTAATGCTGAGTGAATCATCACAGCCCAGCTACGGCATGAATAATATGGCATAGTGTTTACAGCAAGCATACATTAGGTGTATTGTATTCCTGCGCTTAATCTATGTGCAAAAAGAGCAGATATAAAAAGGAGGAGAGCTCCCCATGTGGCCAACTTGTAAAGTACATAAAGTATAACAAGCACTGGTCACCATAGCAACACCTCAGAGGCCACTGGTGACTGGAAAAACCAGAAACATCAGTGACACCAATGTCCCACGTTTCTGAATAAAACCAGTAGTAAGACACAGAAGTAGGAATGGGGGAAAAAAGCCCTTTTACACAGTGCTCTTCTAATGACAATCTGTTGTGTCAATTCTACCTCAGACAGATTCAGACACAATAATACTCATGGTCCTGACAGGAGTAAGAAAAAAATATGAGGTAGCGCAACCGCCTGTTCACCTTTACCGCTGATAAAAAAAAAACCTCAAACACTCTACACCGCTCTGAAGAAACCAGAAAAACGGACTGCCCATGTTCGCACATGAGCAATTGAGGTACCGCTACTACCTGCTGCAAACAGCAGAATTATGAAAGAATGGCTGTGTAATAAATAAACCAGGATCTCTTTTCTCCCCAATAAGAAACCTGAAACTGAGGGTAAATAAGAAACAAAAGGAAGCACTGTCAAAACCACTCCATCCACCTTCACCACTGATAGAAGGCTCTGAGGAAAAAAAGGAAAAACGGACTGCGCAGGATCGCACATGCGCCGCATATATAAAAACAATTGCGTCATCAAATCGAAGTTCTGGTCTCCTACAGAGAAGCTGGGAAATTTAAATAAAATCAGTCAAAAACCACATAAAATATTTAGGAAGAATAGTAGTCTAAAAGCACACAGTTTAAGTAAAATAAAAAAAGGAGGAAAAACACCCAATCTTATAGACATGAGGTAAATAAATTTTTTTTTAACTCATGACTCCATGGCCCTCTTCTCAACAGGAATCCCCAGGTAATACTGGCCTGACCGTTAAATGATGAAGACAGAAATACAGGACCAGCACAGGATGAATACTGATAACAGAAACAACCTGCTTCATGACAACTAGAGAATCTTCCAGGATTTAACTTATTCGGCATGAATCTCTTAGTTCTCTCGGCTAGCTAGAGAAACTTTCAGGATTTAACAATAGCCGGAATGAATCAACTAGCAGCTCTAGGTAGTAGAATCTTCAAGGAAGAAACAAAATAAACTAAAATTATAAACCAGAAGAGAAGGAGTCATCCCTTCACCTAAGGACACTAAATGAAACTGGCAGGTGAGGGGTTATGTCCTAAAATTGGCAGGCTTTTTCTTTTTTGCCTAGTGTCCATTTCTCTTGGAGGCATCAGCATAACCTTATGTGTCAGAATTCTTCAGAGCGGAGTCCCTCCATGGACGATAGATAAAACAAAGATTAGAATAACATCTGATGAGATTTCTGTAACTCCCAGACGGGATTACTTGCAGTGACTGGGTTTAGCAGCCCTCACCTGTCTTTCCTTCACTTGTAGCAATTCTTGCAGAAGATCGATTTCTGCCTCAGCTTTAGACAGATCCCTGGCCGCCTGAGCTGTCTGGGAGCAGAAATTCTCAGCTTCCCGCATCTTCTACCATAAAGGGAAAAGAAAATGGTCTTCATTACCAACATCATTACTAGAACTCTCCAGATCTAATACAATGGAATCACAGTACTGTTCACTAAAAGCAAGTGCAGTTTAAGAGAACAAGTCACCACTCTTTTTATTTTGCAGGCTTACCTCTAAATAAATAATATTCACAACTTATTTTAACTTTAATTAGTTTTCTTAAAATGACTTACGTTTGCTATTAATACTGCAATTTTAAAGCAATCAGTTTTTTTATCATAAAAATGACAAAATGGATGAATGCCACCAACAGTTATTAGGGCACTATCTGCCAGGAGTTTGCAATTTCTCTTTGTGTTTGAATGGGTTTCCTCCAGGTAATTCAGTCACTCCCACACTCTAAAGACATGCTGGAAGGTTGCTTTGTGCTTGTCTAAATTGGCCCTGTATGCATATGAGATAGGGTACTTGGATTGTAAGCTCGAGGTCTTGCAATTGCTTAAAATCATTTTGACAACATGCTGTCTACTAGCTCATATGTAGGCATCATAGTAATATTCGTAACACTGTTCCTGTCACTAAATCAGCTGTTTACCTTCCCCATAACTACTTTTCTGGCATCATGTGGTGTCTCTTCTTAAGCAGTACTATTACTTTTAGAAGTTTAAGCACAAATTCCCTTTACAGCTAAAGTATATATAAGCCATCCATTTCTGCAATCAAGTGTGGGCCTCTAGATACAAATGTCTACACAACCATTTACACTTTAAGACTTCTAGAAATACAAGGACAGAGAGCTTGTCCTTTCAGTCACTCTCCTTTCAGTCATTGAGGACCACAGGATGCCAGTGGTGGCAAACAGGACAATAACTCAGCAGTAGCACCCCATAGTCAAGGAAAGTAACATTTGGTCTAAGCTTTCCTATTCTGAGATAGCAGAGTGCATGGAGATACCTGGCAAGGGGCTCAATTCACAATCCTAACACCACTGGATAAGAAGCCTTATTTTCAGTTGGTCCAAAATGTGAAAATTACAGTCACATGGTGGAAATAACTATTTGTTATAGACTTAAATACACTTATAAGAAAGAAATGTCATAAAACACTTGATCGCCATCATGATTGTTGCTTTATTATAGATATGCCATATGGTACCTCAGCACGATCTTGATTGATCTGAAGAACTGTGCCATGGAGAGACCTCAGCTGGTGTTTGGCATCAGTCAGCTCTGAGGTGGCCACTTTGTCTGACATGGCCACTGCTTTCTTCAACTCCCTGAGTTCATTTTCAAGTCCAGAAAGCTGTTTCTGTGCCCTGACATCTTCCATTTTCTTCTGGAATATAAAAGGTCAGAGTTAGATATAAATGAAGCAAATAATCTGTGTCCCACATAAACAACCACAATGAGCTCTCCACCTCACTCTGCAGATCATGCAGTGCTGTGAGCAATCTCTCCCGCTCTTCATCTGCTTCCACCAGCTGCTGGTCAGCCAGACCTTGAATCTCCTCCATTGTCTTCAGCTTGTCATTCAGTTGGTGCACTTCTCTCTCCAACTGCCGCACCCTGGCCTCACACTGCCTCTTCTCCTGCTGGATCTGCAATCAAAGGATGGAACATGCAATAGATATGTACATTCTTTAACCAGAAGAAACCATGAAGTACAAATAAACACCTTAAGAAAACAAAAAGCTACTCAATCCAGGATGGGGTCGTGGACACACTGGCATTGATATTGCATCTGCATCACATCTGTGTAGTGTTTGGATATATTTGCCTCATCAGTTGACATGATCTATGTGGTGAAAACAAACACAGTGCACACCACTATGTGTTTACACCTCACCCAAACAGGTTAATTAACAGCTGAGGGTATTTAGGAAAAGTAGTGAGTGGTATACCTACATTCAAAACAAAGATTACACAGCAAACGCAACAAAACATAGCACAAATGTATCTTAAACAGCAGTGGTGTATGTACCCATAATCCTTTATGGCAGGAGTCACCAACCACTGGACCGCGAAGCCCTACCTGTCTGTGGCCAGTTAGCAACTGGGCCACAGCCGCCGGCAGTCTCCAAGGCAGTCCCGCTCCCAATCCAGGGCCATAGAGGAGGAGAATTGGGCAGTGTGGCATGTCAGTGAGGAGAGCAGAGCAACGCAGCCGCGTCAATGCAGAGAGCGGGGCAGAGCAGTGTGTCAGTGAGGAGAGTGGAGTAGCGCGGCCGTGTCAGTGAGGAAACAGAGCAGGGCCTTGGGGGGAGTGATGGCCAAATGGACGGACTGACAGCTCTGCACCCAGCTGGTGACATGTTATAAGGTAATGCCCCTGATGGTGTGTGCAGCCATCTCCTACATGTCCCTCCTTCATATTACATGTCCCCCTTCATATTACATGTCCCCCTTCATATGACTCCCCCTGCCTGCCCTTTGTTGTGTTATCTGCCGCACACTAATTACTAACACCCCACACTAATCACTAACAGCCCCCCACCCAACCACATCACCGCCACCACATTCCCTTCAGTCTTTGCACTACCAAAACTTACACTCTGGTGGCCTACCACTATTGCACTTTTTTTTCTAGCACTGACATATTGCACAGTTCTGCACAGAGAACACTGAAACAGTCACATTGACAGGGTGTGTGTACGGCTCCAGTGCAGAATCTGGTGTAAAAGGTTAAATGCTCCCTCTAAAGTTCAGTGCAATATATCAGTTTTGAATAAATATAAGAAAGAGTTAAAAGGAGATCAATGGGGTTAGTAAATTACACTCATCCCCATAGTTAGAGCTAACGTGCGACAAGGAAACTGTTAACCGTCGGCTCTATTGATCGGGAAGTGAGTGAACACATACCACCGATCGCTCACTTGCCGATCACCTCCCTGTAGTCACCGCTCCCCACAGGGATTCCCCCCATCCCCTCTCTGATCCTCCAGCACTGACTGGAGGGACGGACGGGGGAGGGGCGGGCATAGCAGACTCTGCCTCTAGACATGCAGAGGCAGCTGTCAATCAGCCAGCGGAGTGGATCTTGACAGTATTGGCGGGATCTGTCCCGGCTGCGGTGCTCTAGGCATATAGGAGGGCAATAGCCCGCTATATACAGAGTTTTGGGTCATAAAAGGATGTTAGTATGTGTCCTCCCGTGACCCTAAAGAAACCTTTAGGAAAAAAGGTTACCCCATAGTTCTCCTATAAGCCCCAACAGAATTTACATGTTAAAAAGACCATACACAGCACACAAGTGACATATCAGTCACTATCTCTCTGAACTCACTACCTGGTAGCCTCTTTCCAAGGTCCCAGTGTCACTATAGCCATATGTGATGAAAAAGGATATTATGCATAATGTTCATGGTCATTATTATAGAAAAAAGCAAAATATAACAAGTACATATTTAATAAATGCAGCTACATTTATGGACTACTGATGCTTATTCTTTTTCTAGAGATCAATCATGATGGTGATCTATGACAACACCTTTAATCACATGACTGTGGAGGGGTTTGCTGATCTGACAGTTCTGACTACTGAAGAAACAAAAACACAAGCTCAGGACATGCAAATCCAGGCAGTGTACTAGTGTGGAAAGCTTCTAAGTACCATTTAAAATGTTAAGAGTCTCTCCAGGAAAGAGTTATACCCACAAACAGGGAGGCTTTTCAGTGATTTACAGATTTAACGGAATAGCAATAAATTGTGCAAAATCTTAGCCAATATCTGAGATCAGCTGTGTCAAATTGTTTGGCTGTTGGTGGAGATGCAGCCATAGATATCGAACTCTTTAAAGTATCTATGGCAGCCCCTGTTCGAACAACTAGTCCATGTCAGCATTGCTAACTGCAGACAAGGACTCAGACTTCATACAGCCCTTAGCTCTACTGCACAGGCTATTGAGCTGTAAGATGTAAATTACTGCTAATCCCCCATATTGGTGGAATGGGTTGTACTCTAAGCCCTGGTTGACACCTAGGCGTATTGCATATGCGCGTCTGTCGCGCGTTTTTTTTAACCGCGGTTTGTGGTAAAAAAAAAAAAATTGCACGACAAACACGCGTTTCCGAGGGCTACTTGGCTGTATCCCAATGGAAACGTGCAACAAAAACGGCCCAAAGTAGTACATGTACCTTTTCAGGCATGGGGTGTTTTGTAGCACGTTAGGGACGGGCTGAAATACGCCAAGGTGTGAACCAGACCATTGAATACAATGGGATTTAGATGTTTGAGCGTTTTGTAGAGCGTTCGTCGAGCGTAGAACGCGCTACAAAACGTTCAGGTGTGAAGGGGGGCTTAGATGAAGTATCTCTTTGATTTCAATTCTTATATGCTTATCTGACATATTCCAATGCAGTAAACATGTGCACCAAGTTTACAAAAACTACAAAGAGAAAATGTTCAAGTTTTTGATCTCTCACAAGACTGGACTGGGTAGAAGACGCTCTCACCCTGGCTTCGGCAGCTTTGTTGCAGGCTTTCTTATACTCCCACGGAGCCTCTTTAGCTTTCTCCTGCAGGGCCGGTATTTCCTCTTGTAACTTTTTCTGCCTCTTGTTTGCTTCTCTTTTCTCCTCCTCTGCCTTCTCTAGAATGTCATTTATCTGCTGCTGCAGTTCTGCAAGATTCTGACCAAGAATGTCTGAAGGACCAGAAGACCTGAAGTGCGAAACACAAATAAACCGCAGTGAAATTTAGCATCACATTGTATGACAGATATGCAATGCTGTATTTTTCCATATCAAGTTGAACTCCAGAAAGATGTGACAAAATAAACAAAATTACATATATCTACATTCTATAGTAAATTTACATATAGCCTCTTGTAATTCCCCACAAAGCTGACAGAGTTAGAATTTAAAAACAAAATCAGAGCACTCATGCACCTACACTCTTTAGGCTGGGCAAAGGGGGTGTCGTTGACCAGGATGTATTGGTTTACTAAAGTATAAACTGCCATGAGGTAAGATGAATTTCTGACAATTACATCTAGCAGGAGTGATGTGTTGTCTGGCAAGGGTGCTTAAATCTCAACATTGGCTGAACAGCTCATACAGTTCCCAATGAATTCCATTTGTGTATTTAACTGCAGTTGGCCTGGAGGTCTGCTTTAAATTATGAACAAAGGACTTTGAGAACCTTTCTGCATCACCAGAGAATCAGATTATATATATATATATATA